AACACCCCCAATACTACGACAGGTGTCTCACCCTTTTTTGCTAACAAGGGGTACCACCCGAAATTGTCAATCACGCTGGAGCGGGTACAAGGAGCGGAGGTCAACGAATACGCTTCCAACCTTAAGGAGCTACATACATACCTCCAGGGACGAATTCGGGTAGCTAATGAGGCCTATGCAAAGTACGCGAACCAAAAACGCCAAGACGCCCCGGACTGGAAGGAGGGTGATCACGTCTGGTTGAATATGGAGAACGTCAGGACGAGAAGACCGATGAAGAAGTTGGACCACAAGTGGACGGGTCCCTACTCGATCTTAGCAAAAATAGGGAGCCATGCTTACCGATTGGACCTCCCTGGGGACCTCCACAAAATTCATAATGTGTTCCACGTCGACAGGTTGAAACCCCACTTCCACGATAAGTTCAAACGACGGAACTCCCCACCTCCCCCAGTCTTTATAAAAGGGAAGACGGAACACTTCGTCGAAAGCGTCCTAGATTCAAAACCAATAAGGGGACGACCAGAAGAAATAGAATACTTGGTCAAATGGGAAGGGTACGGCGACGAATTCAACTCCTGGGTAGAATGGGAAGGTATGGTGGGATCGATCGAACTCCTACGTGATTGGCACCAACAACATCCAAGGAAACGCCAACCATCGCGTCCGCATTGGGCTTCACTGGAGCGGGAAGCACAGGAAGATGAGGGGGAGGACCGGGAGGATAGTAGGGAGCGTAGCGGTTGAATGACAATAACCGGAGAACCGACGAAGACGACAACGCCATGATACTCACGACTAACTAACGATAAACTGCATCAGAGGGTTCACGGGACCTTAATGCACCATGATTTTTTCACTCTTATCGATTTTCACACAGTATAGGGAACGGTTACTTTATTTAACAAAATGATACAGAAGAACGGAGGTTATTAGCTATGGAACAAGAATAACGGAAGACAAGTACGGGACGAGCTGCGAAGTTACGCGAATCTTTATTGTCCTTGACCCACCGGCGCACCTTCCATAGGATCGTCGCCACCCGGGTTACCCTCCACACGGTTGCGGCGCTCAACAGACCCTGAGGACTCATAAATATCCTCCTCGTCTTCATCGGCCGTCATATCAATGGCTAGATTCGCGACGGAGCCAAAACGGGGAGGAAGAGGAGAAGGGGAAGCAGCTGAAGCAACGGGGGTAGCTGAGAGAGAATCTGGGAGGAATAGGGGAACAGCGGCGGTACCTCCACTTTCCCCCTCCTGCAGAACGGAGACCTCCTCGTGATCAGCACTACCTTCTTCCTGAAGATCTACCGGGGGCAAGGGAGTATCAGTCACGAAGCGAATGTAGCTTGACATCATCGCCTCCCACTCCTGCGTAAGACGATCCAAGCTAGGAAGTGCGGGAACAAGGTCCTCCCAATTACCCGCGCCATGATGAGGAAGGGCCGTGTCTAACGCAAACATGCGACGATGCAGAGGAGGCTCCAGGGAGTCGTCGAAGGGGGCAACGAAGCCGGCATGCTGCGCAACGTTGAGGAAGGGAGCGTCGTCCGAAAAACGGGAGTGGGCAAGAATGAGACGGTAGATACCCTCCTCCCTCTCAGCAGCATTGGCAAAAAACCACTGGATGCTACTGAGAGATCGAAGGTGGAGCTCGGCGTGAATGAAATGAGCAGCTTCCAGGTACTGAAGCGCAAGCTGGAAGTTACGGGCAAGCACGTCTTCGTCCGAGGTATCCAAACCACGTCGAAGGAAGGAGATCACCGCATCGATAATCACACCCACGTATCGATTGTGCTGGTGGAGAACGGAGGCGGGGTCACAACGGTAGAGTCGGTGGGCGAAGGTGGAGACACGAAGAGAAGCCAAGGTGTCGTTCAAATCCCCTTGCACCTCCGCCAGGGGGGGGAGGGAGACAGAATAAGATCCCTTGTCGGGATATTCGCGTATCATCTTCTCTGCAAAAAGAGCACGCTCCCTGAAGAGGTGAACCTCCTCTTGCAAGGTTTCGATTTTCTTCCGCTGCCGAACAGCCAGGGCGTTGGACTCGTCCACCAGGGATTGTTGTTGAATTAGGGAGGTTTCGAGCTCCTCGTTACGCCTGTTAGAAGATTCAAAACGAGACAAGTACTTGGCCCGACTCTCACGAGCAAGACGGAGGTCCTCCTCTAGACCCCGAAACCTATCCACTAAAGACTGGGAAAGAAATGAGTAAAAGACCAGTAAGGGTAGGGAGGTAACATACCTCGTTGGGAGGTCCAGGCAGGGCACGCTTCAACGTCTGAACCTGATCCAGGAGACGATCGTAAAGCTCCTGCTGCTGAGCTGCAGAAGACACTGACTCCCGGAGCTGATCTAACTCGCCCTGACGAGCTTCCAGGGAAACGGAAGTGTCACGAAGAGCGGAGGTTAGAGTGGCATTCTCCTGTCGGGAGGAAGCCAGCTGGGACTCCAACAGACGGATGCGAGCAGCAAGACGTTCGTTTTCGACACGATAAGGATGCTGGGAGAGGATACGAGGAACAAGGGGAGGACGAACAACTGGAGACATTTTGGGGAGATTTGAGTCCCCGAGGGAAGCCTTTATAGGAGAGGAACCAGGTCCCAAGGAACGGGTTGATGCCTCCGCTTGGGAATCGGTTTGTTGATCCACAAGGTCGGCTAATCGAGCCAACGGAGAGGGACCTTGAACCGAACCGAGCTGCCCAGTCGCTTGAACAGAAATCAAAGGAAGGGCCGCAGACGAACGTGCGAAGGTCGAAGGAGCTGAGCCTGGAGCAGAGGGGGCTGGGCGCGAAGGCGGGATAACCAGGCGCACAAGCCGTGGAACCTCCTCAATGACGGGCTCCTCGACAACCTTCGTTAGCCGCCTCTTCTTGGAACGGACTTTCGGCGGGGGAGAGGCGTTGACACGTTTCCTTCTAGCAGCTAACAGAGCCTCCTGCTCCTGAGCTCGGACCTATCTACTGCCTGACTGTCCTGATCATCGAGCATGTTCAGCTCCACTAGGACCTTCGTGGCAGACGTGCTAGAATGCAGTAACTCGTCATACCGATGCCAAACATCTTCCGGAATGGTCCAGGACACCCGCTGCGCCGGAGTACCATGCAGCTCCAAGAATCGTCAGCTGTAGGCCAAATCTTGATTGCAACGCCGAGCAAAATAGCGGTACCGGAGCAGTTTGCCTAGGCTGCAAGTCTTCTTACCGGTGCAGAACGAACACCGAGGGGAACCTTCAGGAACCTTGCAAGTTTCGGGATGTTTAGTGCAGTTGGAACAGGGCAGGGCCACAGCCGCCAGGATAGGCCAGAGAGGGTCATCCCGACAGTAGACCGCCAACGACTTTCCCGTGTTGAAGATATTTTCGAATAATTGTAGTTGGGGAAGTGAGGGCGACTCGATCGTGAAGGCCAATTGATCTTGTTCAACCTCCCCATCGGAGGCAACCTCCCGCCCGGAGGACGAGCGAGGCAAAGGCAGCCGAGAGGGACCAGCAGCAGTGGGAGCTTTCGAAGGCGAAGAGGGCATGTGGGCACAAGTTTTACTCGTGGAACACGAAGGCGTAAAAGAGTAGTGAAAACGAAGGAAGGACTTCAACGAAAAAAGCTTCTAAAACAACACGTGCTCATCAGGTGATTTCCCACGGGTACGCGACAGGTCCTCCTCGAGGGCGCGGAGGATTAAAGGGGGGGTAATGTCATGCCTCGACCGTTAACCACAGCTCCCTTTCTCCCGTCTTCATGCCTGGTGACTACCAGGACAGCCCCAGTATCAGCCATACGCTCTCACAACCCGCACAGAACCACCTCCGTACCTCCCCAAAACATACCAGTTACCATCTTCAGATCCCTCGACACAAGTAACCCCTAAAACCTCCCCCGACACGCGTAAGAAGCCCTCCTACACCTACCCCATTAAGGTACTAATCTCGATTACATGCCTCATGGTCCCTGATGTTCCCTTGTTCACTTCCCATACCTATTTAAGTAGCTCCGTAACGTCCCCAAGCCCCAGCTTGGTATATTTTGAACACACACCCTTTTTCATAGGTCCAGTCCCTGTCCCTTTGTACCTGCTAACCATACGGATTTCTCTTTACTCTCTGTTTCTCTACCTCTGTTTCTCTCTACTTCTGTCTATTGTCTCTCTGATCGTCCATACGATCGAATATACGCTTTCACTTCAAGTCTAAGCCTTCCGAGTGAGTCTCCGAGCTCCCTCGAACATTACTAAAGCTCCCCAACGCCTACCCGCTTGGTGAGTTACCCTTCCCCAAACCTCCCAGAGCTCCCTAGCTACTTCGTAAGCTTCGGGACCTCGATCTAGGTAACGTCGAAGCTACCCCTCACGTCGAACTACGTATTGCTTCTCCGTTACCACCTCCCACACTCGAGGACGACCATCCTCAAACCTAGTCCCCAGGGACCTACCCTCCCTGGCATATCCCTTCTCGGGAGCTTACACCCTCGAGACCCCGTTGCATAAACCACCTACTCGACTCTATATTGACGTTCTAGCGAGTACAACTCCTACTACGCAATATCTTACGGTCCCGCACTCGTCCTGAACCTCCCTACGCATTAGGGACCTCCCTGGACCTCCTAGGAACCCCTCAAGGGTCACCATCTCGTTGTTCCAACTACTACTAGGTCATTCCCGTCCTCGGTCGCGGTTCTCGTAGCTCCCTTCGAGCTCCAGCCTGCTCCTAGCACGCTACAACATAAACCTCCACATACCAAAACCTACCCTAAGACCTATTTTGACCCAGGTCTTACAACTTTCTTCAGCTAAGTAACTATTCAACGAAATTTGACTGTTTGCCTCGGAGTCGGTGTCATCATCATGAACATTCAATCCATCTGAGCTGTCCTTGAAATCACTATCAAGGTTTGGGGTGACGATATCTTCAGGGCCTGTAAAGTCAATCCTGCTTGTATCATCGTCGTCTTTGTCACTGTTGGTTGTCGGGTTCGGCTCCCCGTATTGCTGGATATCTATATGGCCAATTGCTCCCCCGTGGTAGCGCATGAACATATCGCGGTCCACAAAACTATTAAAACATGAGTATCAATGTCTGTTGATGAAGATAGCTCACCCTACATCATCACATAATAATTCACCCAATCTTCGCTCTCTCCGACTTTCCTTGCTGCAGTCGGGAGTCTAGTAGCCAGGAGATCATTGCTTTTTCCATGAATAAAGGCCGGAATGAGATGACAAGCCCGAATGACTTGGGAAGGGTCAAGGAAGCCAAATGCGAATTCGTCATCTTCAGGAACGAAACCAACCTTAGGAAGCTTTGCAAATTTCTGACCAGGTCGATAATCTGGCTCAGTTCCCAGCCACCGCACCCAGAGAAACTCCATCCGCTTTCGTGATCTGACTAATCCCAGCTTCGAATTGCAATGTATGACATCTGCGTGGAAGATTCCGAGCACTTGTGCATACCAATATGGATGTGCGTTTGGGTTCGTATCTGGAGATTTTAGCATGATAGTGTTGTGGTTGGTACGGGGATTGATGACATCATGGTCGCGACGAACATCGTATGTTGTGTAATTGATTCGGAGAGTTTTAACAGCGTGTATTTTGTCTTCGGCAATTATAATGTCTCGTTGTTCCTCGGCAGTGAACTCATAGTCGCCATCAAATGGTATCTCCTTGAGACGCCCAAGCAGATGGTCCTCAAGTTTGGAAACGAAGTTCTGCAAGAGATAATGGTTTAGTTTGAGTTAAATTCGGATTGCTAGCACATACTTTTGTCGCAGGGTCAGAATGTTGCTGTAGAAGGAAAGGAGTGAGATGGACTGGATGGTTCCGTCGATTGGACATAAAGTGATGCACATCTAATGGGATATCAAGATCCTCTGGTGTGGTCCCTTCCCCGAACCCAACTTGATGAGCATGAGCCCCATCATCATGGGCTACGTTGCATGAATCACCCATATTGGACTTGATAGCCCGGGTCTTACCCTTCAGATTAGCTTTCTTCTTGGCAAACTGGGCATTATCAAGCATCCTTGAACGTTTATATCGGCGAGCTATCTGATCTTCATGTCGACGTTTATTGGTAAGGCCATAGAGACGTTTGACGAGATGATGTGCAAGCTCGCCCTAAATCACAGAAGCATAAGGTAAAGGTGGACTAAAGAGGAAATCAAAAAACTCACAATCTGAGTTGAATAAGAGTTGATTGTTCCAAACCAGCATATAGCGGGAACGTAATCAGCCATGGCATGAAACTTGTAAGTGAACAAATTCAGTGTTCGTGCTTTTCATGTGGTGTTGTTGCGCTGACTGGGTATTGAAGGATCGCCTGAATGTCGCTGAGCATCTATATGATCCTGTCGTCGAGAGCGGGCTTGTTGTTCACTGGGTAGTTCAACAGTGCGGAATTGAGAACATGTTTTGTCACGAAATTCATGCATCAATGTCCCGACCACAACTGTACATGAACTCAAATCCCTAAGTGTGAGATCTGTATGCATCCGTAGCTTGGCTAGTGCATGCCATTCTGCTAACCGATATAGCAGTTTCATAAGCCGGGTGTTATGCTCGCCTGGTAGAAGACCCTCAAAAGCGGGAATGGCGCACTGTTTAATTTGAATATTGCCATCATATATGTAGCAAAGTGACATTAACGCACCTGCAGAAGGTCCTCAAAGTCGCGAGCAGCAAGCTTCTTCATCTCTGAAGCATTGTTTGCAAATCGTCGGATCGTAGATACCCCGAATGTGGACATGCACCGAAACCTGGTAGTAGAACATTAGTTACGGTGTTTGAACTTCACGCTAAGAATAATTACCTTGAGTCTAGCTCGGTAACCTTCTCAGTGCCATTTGATAATGAATACAGAAGTCGAATGAGGTGCTTGAATAGTGTTTTCCAAACCCCAAGCTCAAACTCATGGAGGAAATCAACAACTAGCAATTTCGAAAGCTCAAAGTTTGCAATTCCAAGGCGTTCCATAAAAGTGTTCTATAGAAATGGTGTCAATTCAAATTCCATAGACCGGAATAGATTCTGAATTACCTCTGTTGGCACTGACGAGGACTCCTTCAACAAGTTCTCAACATGGACGCCGTTGATTGGATGTCCCATGCTATAGATGAAGTGTCGAGCTCGATTGACTTTATTCACAAAGTAGGTTCGGATATTTCGGGTGCGTATTTGTATATCCCGGACCAAACCCATTCGGTCCAATGCATCCTTCTGTACCAAACATTGAGGGCAGGGACAAAGACCTTTATCCCTGATGGTGGCCAGCAAAACCCTAATTTGAGGAGATTCATTGAGCACTGAGCATATGTATAAAAAAGCGGTAGACGTACTTCTCAGGATAGTCCGCAGAGTATGTAAAAAAACGTGGATATATTCTCCGCTTGACACCATCTCCACACTCTATGACAATGCCGTATCTGTAGGCATGAATAAAATCATCAGTGAGGAGAAACTTCCAAACTGAATGCATAAGCTCTCGTCGACAGTGTGTCAGAATAGATGCCTTCTGTGTTTTCCATTTCACATGGAAGTTCATCGCAAAATCGTGAAAAGAGTCTGGTAACTGGATTTTCATCAGCAACGTACAAACAGATTTGAGAGAAATATCATACTGAAGGAATATAGGCTAAGTGGTGACATGCTCCTGAATCTGGCAATGCTTGAATATATTTCGAGATGTTTCCAAGCATCATGTAGATAGGCCACATCTTTGCTGTCCCGAAATTGGCCACATGAGTTGCATCTGACCACAGCATCACTGCAGCAACGACTCGCTCGAGCTTGCAATCAGATTCTTCAGAGGGGAGAGGGACACGTTGGATTTGATCATGAGCTTGTATAAAGGAGTCGGATGTGTACAACTCGCCATGTACACGGATTTCCTCAGTTGAAAATGGCAGCTGGTGGAATAGTTTGAAAGGCGAAAAGTGTATTTTGTCGGATAAAGGACCCGAGAATGCCTCCCTAATCACTGAAAGGAGTGGTCGGTAGTGAAGGCCTGGAACAGAGAATATTTCCAAGGGAACATTTCTCTGACCAGACGGTACACGTATATCCACACTGGTGGTCTTGAAACCACTGAGATAGTTGGATGCCGGTTCCGGTATCTTCGCTTTATCAGCTCGCGAATTCTCTCGATGAGCACTAAAATGACTGAGATCCTTGATATCAAAATCGGGTGCGTTGAGAACTTCCTCAACAAGCCGAGTAGCTTCCCCTTCCGACTTCACAGAGCTTCCAGTGTTGAGCCATTGCATGATCCAATAAGTGGACATATTGTCAAATGGCCATGGCGGATCAAATCCTGCAGTGGAATTGGAAGGCTGTGGCTGCAGAGGGATTCCGATGCGGGATTTTTTGGCAAGATCATCGAGTGACACAAAAGCATCAGGATCATATGACGGTCGGTCCTTATAAAGGCGGAAAAGACAAAATGGATTAAGATGAGTTTTCAGTGTGTCTCGTACAATGAGGATGACACGTCGAATACAAGTTGGCTGGTTGAATTCATCAACTAATGCATGATCAATAACAGCTGGAGGTCCTTGTGGTAAGACATCACGGGTTGGAGCTGGAATGGCAGCACTTCGCATGGGTCGTCCAGCCCGATTTAATAAAGGCAGGGGCACCGGAGGCGGGGATGGAGAGAGAAGTGGTGGGGATAATGGGGCTTGCAAGACCGGAAGGGATATTGAGCTGGGTTGCTCGCAAACAGAGTTTCGAACAGGCTAAAACGGCATTAGTCCTGGTTTTGCGATTCACTTGTAAATGTCATACCGGTTCAGGTTCAATAGCTTTGGACTTTTCGGGGAGATTGACAGACACACTGGCAACTTTACGTTTTTTGCTTGGCCCAGGAGTATTCAGAGAGTCTCTTGCTACTCGTCCTTTAGATCCATGTTTGGTCAGATGCGCTGCAGCTGTGGTCTCAAAATCACTAGCATAATGCTTGCAAATCCGCTGATGTTGTTGAAGAGAAATTGAACTAGGGAATGATTTCTGGCAGGTCGTGACACAATTGGGCATTATATTTGCATGAAGTAAGGCAAAAAGGAGGAAATATGGAAGAATACTCATGTAGTACCAAATCATAACAGCCGAATTTTCGAGATTGGGAATCAAGTGTGTAGCATTGACTGTAGGTACATTATATACTCCGCTAGCCAGTGGGCGAAAGTTCTACCTGTATCAGACCTGTATATTAGATCAATTTAGTGAATATTTGGGATTCAACGCCACAAATCTGCACCTTCAGGAGTGGGGATAAAAGACCGTTGGAAGATGCCCCACCCTTGCCTCTTCTCTCTCTGCACTCATTCCCATGTCTTCATCAGAAAGTGAGGATGGACGTCGTTCAGGTCACTCGAGCCATGTTCAGCCTTCTGAGACAGGCTCCCGCTCCCGCGCTTCTTCGCGTTCACCTTCACGCTCTTCCCAGAGACATCATCGTCGTCAAAACCATTCCAAATCCAAAGTCGTTGATGCAAATGTAGAAAAGTTGGGTCGTGAAAACCAGAAGTTAAAACGAAAAATTGATGCTCTGCAACTCGAGTATGCTGCAGTGTCCAAGAAAACCCGCAAAAAGGGTGCGGAGTAAGTTTTGCAGTTGGATATCTATGAAAGCATACTCAATCTACCTGCAGAAAATCAATTGAGAACCAAGGAAGAGCATTGGCCAGGATTGCGACTTTGTACACACCCATTGCATCTCTTGTCAGGTGCTTTTTTGCATATGATACTGATGCTGAAGAGGAGGATGATCCTGCTGATCCTGCTGACCTCGACGAGAAAGAGTCGGAGGAGTACTTCAAGCATCAGATGGAAAAGCGCAAGTAAGTCATGTTGCTAACACGAAAAAGTTTCAGTGATACATTGATTTCAGGATGCAGCGTGATATACGGGCATACCATATTGTTGTCAAAACAGTACCTGGGTTCCAGAAGGCGGTAGATGCAGCAGGCACAGATATCAGTGCAATTCTTACTTTGTGCAAGCAGGTAAGTGTCACGGCCAATCACAGTTCTTATGTGACACCAATGCACTTTGTAGTTACAATATGGCAGTATTTCAGCTCGTAGTGATGATGTTCATATGCTCATGATTGAGCTTGCCAACTGGCTCAATTTCCGACCACTTCCCTCTCGTGCTGACCCTTTGCTGTTGAACCATAGCCGCGAGCTTCGAGGCTTCAAACACGATTTGACGGTGAAGCTACTTTGTCCTGTTGAATATGACTGGTCCGACTCTGCGTATGTCCTCTGTTTATCTGTCATAGGCTGTCATGCTTACTTTGTAAGATGAAGGGTACGTGCTAAAATCCGGAACAAGGAGATCAAGATAAACACTTCGTTCTTCATCCGTGCTTTCTACCAAGGTGAAGAAGGTAACCCCAACAACGTTGAGGAAGGATTCCTTCGTAGTACCCTACTTGTACAGGTACTTGTATTTCATATCATGCCCCGCAATTGACACTGACATATGCTTAGACGTGGCGTCAAATCTATCGAGCAAGTGGTTCTATCTCAGAGGATGAGATTCCAAGCTCGCAGTCTGACCACAGTAATGCTTCGGCACCAGTACCGCAAAGTAACAAAGCAAGGTCATCAACAAAGCAAAGTCTTGCCGAGTTATATGGCCTCAACCAAGTCACTCCACGGACCATTGCATACTCTTGCGTCTTGGTACGTCCTCGAAATCTTAATTCCCTTTATTATTAACTTGTGACCTGTGCTAGCTTCGCTTTTCTCTCTCTCATGCCAAGACATGGGGACAAGACCGCTCTTTCAACTACGAAGGTCTTTACAATGAGATTGTTGATTACTTTGAGGCCGCAGACCCGGAGGATGAGGAAGTGCAAACACATCTGGCAGAGCTGCTGCACTGGTGGAATGAGTACGTTTTCAATCTTCAAGTAGAATGACATTGCTCATATCAAAACACTTGGTAGGCAAGCTTTCGCAGAAGAGGACGCTTCGAACAGCCTCAAACCTTCTCTCCACTTCCAATCTACTCTAGAAGAACAACGTGCAGCCAAATTGTCGGCGGCGGCGGCGGCGGCGGCAATGGTCCCTGTGTCTGGTAGTGCATCCACTTCTTAATTACCTCTGTCTGTTTCTCGTTACGTGCATATTAGTCGCTCATTGCTTTTCTCGTCACGCTTCCTTATACTCTTATTTCGTTCTATAGTATCATACTTATAATAGTAGCTCATCTTATACCTTTATGTATAAGTAGTAGCTAATCTAATTGATTGATTTGGAACAACCCACCAGGTCTGTATCGTCCTTTAAACGATCTGAATGATAGATAGATTGTCAAACAGCAATACCAATCAGTCATTTCGTTTAACCACAGCGTAAAGGTCCACCTTTGTAGGGTACTCTTTTCTAATATCAAACAACATTGTGAATTGTATATAGGCTACTGACATTGTTGTTCTCAATCCTTCATGGAAGGTAAAGTACAAACAACTATGGCGCTACTCATATAATGTTACAAGAATTTTGAGAGAGTATTGAGGACATATGGATGATATTCTTGCTTTGTGGTCAAGTATTGTCAAATTCTAGCAAGCATGTCCTTGCTCGTGCAACTTTCTCAATGAATTTCTCATCCATACCGAACTGGAAGCGTGGTCGACCCTGTCGATAACACAGGAAAATCATTGTCAAATTGGGGCAGGCATCATAAGGCATCATAATGGTTGACAAGGACCACACAACATTGTAGCAACATTGTACCCATTCTACCTTCTTACACTATTTATTCAATATGATAATCCTCCTTAGGAGTCTCCGCGATTTAGTGATGAACTGGCATGAGATAAATTTCAGAAAAACTGATGTTCAACGAATCCGGGAAAAGTGAATTCTTTAGTTCAAGTATTCCATCATGTGGTTTTCTCGCCTTTCTTTAATCTCAACTGACAACAAACACTCATGACTGCTAAACCCGAAAGACTCGTAATGACGGAAGAAGCTTTTCCTGATATTTATCCTTACCTGACACCCCGAGACATTCGCCTTTTCAACAGCTCGGAGAACCGTCAACAACGCTTATTGCAAGAATGGAAGGCATGCCATGTATTCATTTCCAATGTGTTGAACCTGTTAACTGTTCTTTAGTCCTCCAAAGCATTCCTTTCAAATATCCCTGCCCGGGAGCTCCCAAAACACTTCTTTCCTCCGCCAAAAGAACGCGCAAGCGTTCTTTTCTACTGCGGCTGGCGAATTACCTACAACCAACTCCATGAAGTGGCGATGAAGGAGTACCCTGAGGAGGTAGTATCAATACAGGGTAAAACCGATATAATCTTCACTTGCCTGCGCTTGGTTCCTCGGCTGGCGAAGGATTTCAATCTACCCACGCTCGTTCTAAAGCGCACTTATTGTGGACCTCGCATGTCTGATCGTGCACCCTTTCTCGCCATATGCCATAATTATTTTGCGACTGCCCGACGACAAGAAATACTCGAGTCAGAAGGGGTCGAGAGACTGAAGGAACTGCTGAAACTGAATGATGCAGTGTGGGTTGTTGATGAACGTACTCATCGTTGGCCTCGAGCCTTCAAAGGCATGTCACTTCGATCACACCAATCCTGTCAGATCCTCGCTACTGATTACTGGCTACTGATTACTGGCTACTGATTACTGGCTACTGATTACTGGCTACTTTATACAGAACCTGCTCCCTACGTCGAATAATGTACTCGTGTCATTTCATCAAAATACACATCTATTCCTCATGTACACAGTATACGTGCTCATCGACCAAGACTAGATCAAGATCCTGGGAAAGAAGTGTTTCCGATTTTATGGTGACCCGAGTCTAGCGATGATAAAGGACCTACACACTTACTGTCGTAGTATAGGAGAGTGATTTTAAAAGCGAAGGTGACTGTCAAGACTCAACACAGACCGCGGGTGTGCCCGTTCTTTGAAGATTGTGACAGACCAAGGCTTTCATGAACCTCAGGATCTAGCCGAATCTTTTACGGGAGTCAGGACGGAATTCAATCGCTTCCACACACCCGTTGTTGCCGACGATTCAAGAAGAAATGGTTGCTGCTGCGAAGTTCCGGTCAAAATAATGCTCTTAAACAGTGATTGATGGTGGCACTCCTCTAAAACTGATGCTGAGGTAGAAATCCTTCCCCCCTCCCATTTGGTCTCAATCTGTCTTTCCTACTTCGACGGGTCTCAAAATGGCTGACCCGATCTTAGTGGCTGTTGCTTGAGTAGCAGTAGAGTTGACTGGAGGTAGCTGTGGGTTGACTCGAGCTTGCAATAGGCAACGCTCTGGAGGAGCCCGCGGCATGTCCCAAATTTCCAGCACTTGGCTAGTTGGAATCGGTGGCGGGCTGACTATGTAGAGTCGGCTCGATCGGGGCTGGGACTGTCTACGTTCGAAAACTGAGCCGGATAAAAGCCGCGCAATGTGATAAAATACTTTCCCCTCATTCATTCTACGGATATCATGCATTGCCCATCATATCGTGCTTGACCTTCAATATAGAAGGAGCTTACACAAAGGTAGCCGTTGTACTCCTATCTCAACTCGGATCCACTACAACGATGATACATGCCTATATGGAAATTCTACGTGACGTTCACGTTCAAACTATTTCTTTCCTGCTTTTACACTGTAACCCTCATTCATCTCGATATCTTCAGAACTCATGGCAGCATTTAATAGTTAGTACAGCTATCCTCAACGCCAATTTCAACGCCTGTAGGAATGTCGGTGATATCGTAATTGTACCTGTCGATTTCAAACCACGACATCCTCAGCCTCCCGGCATACGCAAGTTGAACAAAAAACACAAACCAGATGTAATGACCTCCCTCCGTCCTGCCATAGTTGACTCGAATACGGCTGCACTATACAGAGTCATATTTGTCAATAGATCATCGAAAGAACTGCCGCTGAGAACACGCTCACAGGTTTTTCGAGATTGCACGCGTCTGCACCACCTTTGGGCGGGCAATTGATCAAGTTGGCCGGGTTACCGGGATCGGTAATGCTGGGCTCGAGGCTCGAGGTCGAGTCAGCGAAAGCGGCGACAACGAAGGCAGCAAGAGCGATGAGGGTGGCAGAGAATCGCATCGTGGTGTAGACCGTGATACTTTCAAGTGCTTCGAGGTTAACTCTGGCTTCACTTTGTCGTCTTCAGATGGCTTTTATACTCCCCAGAGCCTCATTCTTTCAATTGGTAACAGGTTGATCATCCAGATGCAGTGGAGTCGACAAACGTGTCGGGCTGGATGTTATTCGGAGTAGATGATTCCATACGAAGCTGTTCCTACTGTGCAAGGCAAACCAAAAGCCCATTGAGGGGATGCCTGCCTGGTAAATCCGTCAGATATCAGGTTCTTTGGAGAATCTAATACTGTGATCAATGAAGACATCTTGGACGTGAACGAAGACCATATAGACTGAGAGAATGGTGCACCATATTCCTTGTTTGAGTTGCTAGCCTCGGCGGGCAACTCCTTCCGACTCATAACCGAATTTCAAGGAATGCGCCCTCGTCGGTCTGATTCAACCTAGCCTTTCGATATCGTTGGAATACTGCCTGATGCTGCCTTCTCTTCAATAAAATCCAGTACGGCCTGAAGTAAGTTTGCCTTTTGTTGCATCTGGGCCGGTTATTTGGCAAGGATGAAATGTGGTTCATTTGCAGGATGATGAATATATTCTGTGTGACGGGACAGTATGCGCCGGAGACAGCAATGTGAATCTGTGACTAGTAAGCATATGATGATACCTTCCCGTTACTCTAAGTTGCTACTAATCTAAAGCTCCTAGAAACTGGGGTGAGCTCCTCTCGTTTGAGCATGACGCAGCTTCGCCTCAGCTTCCCGATGCCACGAGACTGTAAAACGTCGATGAATTGAGTACTGCAGTTCTACCCTGTGATTATTTGGCAGCGCTGCTTGGGGGATTACAAAGAGCAGACTCTTCCCACTCCGAAGGGCCTGCTCCAAAACGCACGCATCCGCGACATAGTGATAGATAGTAGATTTTGAAGGATCAAGTGTCATTATTGTTGATATGACACGCAGAAATGACATTGGGAACAAACGAGAACATAATATCCACAGAATATATATATATTATATACTACCTTTGGTTCACTTGTATCCCCAACCTGCTCTTGGGCTCGGCGGGCATATAGAATGATAATCGTCCTCCTTCTTTCCGGCGAAGAGGAAGGGATATCTCGGCGCGCATTGTTCCGCTATCGTAGTAAGGGTGAAGTAATGTCCTTTTCTCTGCGCATCTCGGACGAGCTCCTCACTAGCAGCTATGCGTTCTGGGGTGTCGATATCGATTAGCTCGAGTGTTCCGTCACTGTTCATCATGAGTCGTTCGTTAGCCCGTTTTAAAGGAGCGGGTCTTCGACGTTCGGTAGGTTGGCTGAAACTGGCTGTGGGTTGACTAGAGCTGGCTATTGGTTGACTGGAGGTAGTTGTTGGTCGACTCGAGCTTGCTATGGGCAAACTGGAGCTGGTTACGGAGCTGGAGCTCGGGGCATTTAACAAATTCCCAACATTCGGTTGGTTGGAATCGGTGGCGGGTTGACTAGAGTCGGCTGGATCGGGGCTGAGATTGCGTCTACGTTCAAACGGTATTGGAAACTTAGCCGTCCATAAATTGTAGGATTCCTCGATGCGCGGAAGTCCGCTCGCAGTGATCGAGGGATTGTTGGAGCTAGCCGCTACATGAGCGGAACTCGAAGCTGTCTGTCTAGTAGCAGGAACCCGGTGCATATGGACAGGCATAGGCCCCCACAAATTAAAAGGTCCATCAGATCGCTGGACTGGTTGGGCGGACGAGATGGCCCGGTCTACAGGGTTAGAAGGGACGGATGGAATAACAGGAGAGGTAGATACTGGTGGGGGAGCAGCAGTCGGGGTGTTACCCTGCGGAGCGGGGTCTGAACTTGCGGCAAGGGAGGCCTTTCGCCGTTTTAAACGCGAGGCGACTGAACCAACATCGTCAGATGTGTCGTTCGAAGAATTTGGACGAGAACGCTTGTTACGAGCGGGTACTGCCAGTGACTTAATGGTTGGATTCATTGTGTTGTCGAGGTCAGAAGAAGCAGTGGGCTGAGTAACGGGACTAAAAGATTCTGGCGCAGAAGAAGGATGAGGCGTAGCTGTAGCCAATTTTCGAGCAACAGGCGTGTCAACTAAAGGGCCTGTGGAGAAAGACGCACGAGCTTGTGAATTCGAGGGCTGCTCGGAGGGACCTGGCACGTCGCTCGATTCATCAAGCGGGAGCGCTGATCCTCTGGTCATACTGAAAATTTGTTTATCTTTGGTGAACTTCTTGCTTCGACTAGAAAGAGGTGAGGGATATGTATGTTCATGAAGCATTATGGAGAACATTATTACTTACATTTTACCGCCGTCTTCATCTGCGGTAGGCGGAATCAGCTGGGAGGAAGACCCGGAGGTCTTGCGATTCATCTCGAATCTAGTCGTGGCGTGAACGTCCCGCAGAACTTTGTCAAGGAATTCGGATCCGCAAACTTCTTTGACGATGTCGAGAAGACGCCAAGTGTCTGCTTGCTCTTTACGAATCTTGGACATTACTCGTACGGTTTCATAAGAAACACTCTCCACTTCTTCTACTAGTTTCTGCAAATCGGCGACCACTGTTTCGTGGTCCTCCTGATATTCTTCGAGCATTTGCTGAAGCCAACCATCCGGAACTGCTTGATCGTTAACGCCCACTGGGGGGTAGACTAAAGGTAAACGCAAGCGAAGGAAAGAGCGTTCCTCAGCAGATTTATCGGAGGTGGGACTAGGAGATCGGGAAAAAGTATCCTCAGGCGGCTCTGGGAATGCATCTCCTAATGGTGGACAGGTGTTTGACGGTAGAGACTGATAATGAGGAAATTTGGGGGGCTCCCTTCGCTCAATAAGAACAATACAGTCGTCCTCTAAAGCCCAGGTGTGATTCGGGAGGATGGGTATAAATTTTTGTCTTCCGTTGAATATCCTATCAACGATCTCTTCCGGTGCAAGAATCTTCGGAATATCATAACGCTGGCGTAGTTTTATCAATAATCGTCAAAAGAAGAAATTGAAAAAGAGACATACAGCTGCATAGTCTAGTATATACTTTGGGTCCTGTCTGGTGAGATCTTTCGCATTGATTCGCCCTCGCTGGAAAAAGTTTGAGTGTGCGGTAGAGCTCATCGAGCTAAATTGAGTTATGTGGGGTGATAACGAAGGGGGAAATGAAGAGAAACACAAGGAGCTAAGCTTAACCTATAAGCGATTGCCGGGCGGCTCACGCCTTGTTTCGTAGCAACTTGCATTGTTCAAAACAGGAGAACAATAAAAGCTAATAAAAGCTATCGGTTATGGTAGTTTTGGGCGCTTCTTCTTAACAATTTCGGCCCGTCGGTCGGTCCGACGTTGCAAAGTCCTGCCAAGTCCCCAACTTTGAACTTCGCTCTGGCTGGCACATTTCCTCCACATTTCGGAGTCGAACTAAACCTTGACTTTTTTGCTCTTTTTGCCTTCTCTGCTCATTCGTTTTTTGAAAGATGTCCCATCGTGACGGCTCGGAGGCTTCCTGTAGGAAATGCAACCAGCGTTCGGATCGCGTCTCGGTTGACACAATGAAGTCCTTGCGCGAATCGCTTCCTCGACTCATGCATCTGAGATTTCTTCCGTTCTGGTCAATTTGGAGAAAGACATCGAAGACTGCTCTGTCGAAATCGCACGACTACAGGCTCAAATTCGTTCACAAAATACGAAACGCAACTTCCTCCACCATGTCAAACAATGGGGTCAGTCCATCCTTGCTCCTGTAAGGAGGCTTCCGAACGAGATTCTTCACGAAATATTCGCCGATTGCATGCTTGATGATACGTTTACTGTAGCCAAGGACTTTGGAATGTCCCGGCAGCCTGCTTGGGTTTTGAGTAGTATATGTTCGAAATGGAGGAAAATAGCGTTATCCTGCAAACCGCTCTGGTCAAACATCTGTCTGGACTTCAAAGCGAGCCACGAGTCTTCCCAACATGCTTTTCATGCATTATCCAGGCTTCTTGACCAGTCTTACCCCCATACGGTGGATGTGAGCATTATAGATTTTTCGAATGCTCACTCCCGTTTGTGGGACTGCTTGGCCTTGCATGTACATAGGTGGAAACATGCCGAATTTGAGGACGTCAATGGTCTTTTCCAAGACCCAATGTGGTCCACACTTCGACTTCCTGCTCTTGAGTCGTTGACTCTCAATGAATATGGAAGAGACCTGCCACTGGATCTTGAGGCCTTTCGACACGCTCCCCTACTTCGAAAAGCCGACCTCAGGGGTGTTTTGCCCGACTCCCTTCTCCTATTTTCTTGGTGTCAACTCACCCACCTCGAATTGAATCGGTTCAAGGTTCCAGTTTTCCCTGCTTTGAGCGCATGTACCAACCTCGAAGGTCTGAAGATAACTGTGCATCATGCTCAGGTGCTCTCTTCACCCTCCAGTGTGCTACATTCTGTTGTGCCATTTGTCGAGCTTTACAAACTCAAAACCCTTCACATCACTCTTTTCGGAACATCAAATAGAGCTCGTATTCACTCATTGGCTGACATTTTCAAAGCCTTCATAACCCCCTCTTTGAACAGCCTCCAGTTATGTTGCCAATATCTGTCCAAACATTTCCAAGGATGTTGGCCCCAGTCTTCTTTTGAGTCGTTCCTTGAACGCTCTCAGTGCTCAATTCGTACTCTGGTACTGAATCAGACTACATTCTCACCGTCCGAGGTGCAGAAAATCTTCTCTTCTCTGCGCACCGTCACCGCATTGACGATAAAAGACACTTCGTTCGTTTGTTTGACTGCGGTATCCCCAACTATCTCCCAGCTCTCTGCAGGAGGATCTTTATTCAAAACCGGAGCAGTGCTACTCCCAAATCTGCAAGACTTGATAATACACTCGCGCTACAGAAGAAATTTGCCTTCTTCTGAAACAGCTCCGTCGTCTATTCTAGATGATACTGTGCTCGCGGAGATGGTCAAGTCACGCTGGATTCCAGACACGACGTACGCCTCAGTATTCAATATTCGATGTTTATGCTCTGTGTCGATCCAATATTTTGCCCCTGGTAGAATAATGAACAACTCTTCCCGGACAATATTAGAGTCTCTGAGGGCGGATGGACTTAAATTCGTTGTTCAGGTAAATCCGAATGAAGTTGAGGAAACGAGTGGCAGCGAGACAGATGCCGGTTTGCCGACACCCGTAGGCAAACCATAGTCTTCGAACGGGCACATGATGCAGTACCCTCCTCCTCTTCAGGTACTGCATCGCACTGAGTCGTCTTTCCGCTTCAACACCTGTTTCTTTGGTGGATTTCGTACCTTGTCATTCCATACCTCTTCAGTAGTACTAGTGCCTCTCTCCAATCAAATGGCAAATTGAATAGACTTCGACCCAGCTAAAATTCCTTGTCCCGATTTCAGCAGCAATCTCTACGATGTAATTCGCAATGCTCTCATAGCAGATGTGAATACCCCAGACATCACAAACAATGAGCAGGCTATCCTTAAGCTAAGAAGCCAATGGGAGGCTGAGAATGCTAATCTGAGGGCTCAATACCAAGCACAACTTCAAGAGGAGCAGGTGGCTGGCGAACGAAGAAGAGCCGATGAAGAAGAATCAACAAGACAACGCGAAGCAGAAGAAAGAGACAAAGAAGCGGAGCTGGCAAAGGAGATGGAGAAGAAACGCACTCCTCTCCCGAACTTCAAGCAAGGTGTTGGCCATCGCTCTGTTCCTCACCACTACCACCCTTATGCCGAGAAGCTCATGACAACTCGCAAATATGTACCACTCTGGTACTTTCTGCCTGATGCCGAGAGAGAAGCCAGGGAGCGAATGAGGGAAGTAGTAGACAATAACCGCTTCGAATTCGAAAGCGACCCTACATCAGCATCAAGCACCCCCCTCACCCTCATTTCCACAACCTCTGTCCGCGCTTCCCCCAATGCCCTCCCAGACCTTCGTCTCACCTGGAACCAGGTTATGCGAGCCAAAAGCGGCTTCCTTGGTGCCCTTTCCCTCGGCGCTTTCCCTGACAAACATGTCGATATGTTTGCTCAATTCTTTGTCAACATGGAAATGCACCCAGAGTTAAGGAAAACTAATGGTGAACGCACGATGGCCCTCTATCAAGCGGAAACGCGTCTCTCCTGGTACAAGGACAACGAAAAGGGGGATCCCTTTGACCTGGCCGTAATCATGGAGGAAACGCTAGATGAGTGTCGCAACGAAATTCGTAGCCAAGATCATGCCAAAGCCTTAAAGGGTATGTCATCCCTCCTCCCCTCTCCCACAAACTCTTTACTAATTACTACATTTCTTCACCAACACTCACCCTTCCAAACTACCTCTAAACGCTATCTCCACCAACCTCCATTCTGCTAATCGCTACCAATGCTAATTACACGCATCATCGCTAACCAACCCAACAACCCTTGACTGCTATCACGAACTCGCTAATGCTAAATTTCGCTAACGCTACCCGAACCTTTAATCCCTCGCTACGCTACCACCGCTAACCAGAGATGCAGGCAGTCATTGCCCAGCACCATTCCCGGAATGCCTCCTCGCAACTCAATAACACCTGGGTCTCGGATTCTCATCACCAATCAAGGCCCTTCAAATCCAGACACAATCCTTACCCATCCACGTCCCCTCGCAAAGCTAGTAACATCAAGCAAGAGGAGGACCACACACCTGATTTTCCACGCTCCTTTCATGAAGCCAATCAGGCAAAACTATCGCGGTGTCACAGATGCCTTGGCAGGGACAAACACGACATCCGCCGGTGTTCGCGAACCACACTATGGAATGGAAAGCAAGCAGTTCTCTGCAACTGGAACAGAAACAGCTACCTGGAAATCTCAAGGGGTACCTTCGCGGGACTCGAACTGTGTGCAGACTGGCAGCGTCCTAATGGATGCACCAGCAAAATGCACCCGGAGAAGCACCGCTGCTCAGGCTGCGCTCACTCCAGTCATGGAGCTGAAAACTGCCCTGAAGGACAGTAGAACGCGCATTCGCACACCCTTGAATGCAGAAGCATGGCATCTGGCTCTATCAGAACTCGGACTACTCCCCAAATACCCAACTTTATCAAATTCAATTTGTTTCGGCTTCAAAATCGGTATTCCCCCAATCAACCATACTTTCTCCCCTCCTAATAAGCTAGATGACCCTGAGTCCATAAAAGCCTTTGAATCAATTGTAAATAACGAGATCGACCTAAAGCGATGGATCGGACCATTCTCCAGACACATCCTCGAAGAAACAATAGGCCCCTTCCAAACGTCTCCTATATCCATGATCCCCAAATCTGGAAAACCAGGAAAGTTCCGTCTGCTCGAAAACCTCTCTTTCCCTCACAATCCCATCTCCACCTCTTCGCTTGCTACGATTTCCTCCATAAACTCCAACATTGACTCATCTCTCTACCCATGCTTTTGGGGTACATTTGCTAACACCTGTCGACTCTTATGGACTCTGCCACCAAATGCACAAGGCGCAGTCAGAGACCTGTCAGAAGCCTACCGCATGGTTCCATTGCACCCTTCGCAGTGGGCGGGTGCAGTAGTTCGGTTAGACTCGGACCAATTCTGTATCGACACCAGGGTCATGTTCGGTCTTTCTTCAGCCGGCGGCGCATATGGCCATGTTGCAGATGCAGGTGTAGAAATCTGCAGAGGTAGAGGCCTCGGCCCGCTAACAAAATGGTACAACGAGCTCAGAAGTCAACTCAAAACTCGCATCCGCAAAACAGGTGGCCTCAAACACCACAAGGGCAGACTTCTATTCTTAGGCCAAACCCTTCCAAGCGGGCAACTCGAGGAATTTGATGACGACTTCACCTTTGACATCCGCGACCTCTCAAACACATCTCCAAGATCACCAGCAGATCAAAAATACACATATGCATTCTGTGATATCGACCGAATTACCCTCCCGCTAGGTTACCATTGGGCTAAGGACAAAGACATTCCTTTCTGCGATGACCCTACATACTTCGGTTTCCAATGGCACATCTCATCCCGACTCGTCTCGGTTCCCCTCTCCAAGCACCTGAAATACTTGAAAGAGCTTGAAGAATGGGAAAGTCGGCCTTCACACAACACCCAACAAGTATCGAGACTTTATGGCAAGCTTCTCCACGTTAGCCTTGTGTTACCCATTGACAGATCGTACCTAATAGAACTCGAGAAATTCGAGGCCAAACTCAGTCATGCGGCTCCATTTACTAAACATCATGCACCTCGAGGCTGGCATGCGGATCTCCGTTGGTGGAAATCAACCTTGTCTGCCCCCATCTCCTCTCCCATCCCCGGACCTGCAACTCTCATCGACATCCATGCATACTCAGATGCCAGCAGTGGCTATGGCATCGGCCTATGTATCCAAGGTTTCTGGAGGTCGTACCGACTCCTTCCCGGGTGGCGAGGTCATCACAATGAACGAGACATTGGATGGGCTGAAGCAGCAGGATTCCACCTGCTTGTTCTCTCCTTCGCAGACCTCACTACCGCAGGACATCACTACAAAGCCTGGGGTGACAACGAAGGAGTGGTTGAAGGATGGTGGAGTGGTAGGAGTAGGAACCGCGCCACAAACTTATTATTCCGCCGCACTCATGAAATCCTTGCATCAAAAAACTTCTTTGTCCACACCCGCTACATCCCAAGTGCCAACAACCCAGCCGAAGACAGACGAGTCCTCAGATGGCCTAGAGGAGTTATGAGCTTTGCGAGAATGGATAGGATCATACTGGCGGGGTTCTTCGTTGGCGTATGTATAAGCAAATATTAATATTTAGACTAAGACTCCAGAAATATGCAGTGAACGGTGATATGGAAATTACAATTTCGCCTTCGCATCCCTGGTACCTCCGACCTCAATAACGACTTTACCGAATTGTACTCCGGATCTTAACATCTCAAACCCTTTTTCTGCATTTTCCAAACCATGTATGACTTGCGACACAACAGGAACAATTTTGTGTTTGGACAAAAACTTCGTAGCGTCACGTAAGTCCTGTGTTGAGCCCATCGTCGAACCTGGGAAAGACACGAGTTGAACAAAGGCAATTCTCTGCTTGCAGTACAAGCAATGTGCGAAGTGCGTACCAATGAGTTTTTGGTTTCTCAGTACTTCCCGCATCGTGAAAGTGACTTTTGGTTGAGCAGTCCTATTTTCAATATGTCATCAGCATTATTTATGCTAGCTGATTGTTAGTCCAACTCACATTCCATAGCATACTACTCTCCCTCCCTGTTTCAAGATTGAGCCGATGGAAGTCATGATATCTCCTCCGCCAGAATCAATAACGGAATCAAGCATGGCAGGAGAACCGGCAGGACTATTCTTCCTAAGTAGTCTATGAATTCTCTTCGGCCAACTGGCTGTACGGTACAGAGTGGTAGTGAGAAAACGCAGAGCCTACTTGAAGGAAGAGATGATAGACCACCCACCGTCTTTGTAACTCGCTCCGCCTTTAGCTCCAAGTTCTACTGCTTTATTGACCTTCTCCTGACTTCCACTAGTGACATATACTGATGCACCTTGAGCAACAGCCAGTTGAAGGGCAGCCAAGGCGACACCTCCCCCAATACCAGTGATCAGGATATTTTGACCTGGTTGTACTGCAGCATTAATCATGGTTGCTCTGCACAAGACCGGAGCAAAAAGTCAAGTATTACAAAAGCCGAAATTAACAGGTCCACCAACCTCCATGCAGTAAGTCCTGCTAATGGCCATGCCGCCATATCGGTGTCACTGAGATGCGGAGCTGAAGGAATAACTTGGTCCTTTCCAACGATCACATATTCAGCAAATGTACCAAGGGGAGGCCAACGAACACCACCGATGACGCCAAACCTTCATTAATAAAAACGAGCAGTCAGAATCCACTTTCAAAAGACCTGATGCAAATGAACTGCAATACAGCTCGCATCATCTGAGAATACACACTGCGATTCGGGAGCGTTGGGATGATCATCCCATCCATGAGATGGAAGGAGGAAAACCCTCTGATTCAACATGCCATCATCCCGAGAGTCTCCAAAGGCGACAACGACGCCCGCTCCATCTGCTCCGAAGACAGCACCATCTTGAATACTGGGATACATTCCCTTCCTAATCCATACCTGTAGTAAACAGTTAAACAGTTATATTCATTTGCTCAAGTCTGCTGGTGTACGCACATCTCGATGATTAAAAGCTACCGCATGTATCTTCACAAGTATTTCCCCTGGGTTGAGTTGACGGAGAGGTATTTCTTCAAGGACAACATCATTCACATATCCTTCATTAGATTTCGCATGCGCTTTGCGTACGACCAGGGCCTTTGTGATCGAACTGCCTTGAATTCCGAGCGCCATTTCGTCTGCAAAGACCGCTTCAACTGTCATTACTTCAGTGCGCGCGTGAACCAGGATTTTGTGATTGGGCGTCTATTTTAGTTGGTCCCCTCGTTCCCTAATTTTCACCGTCGGTACAATCGCGATATGAAGCTCAAAGCCCTCGGAATTGAATGCTGGCTTTCGAGCTCGCATACAGATGAGCATCCCATAGGTAATACAGAAACATCGTTCAGCGAAACAACTGGGACCACCACCGTGAGGACTTCAGTTTCTCCTCATGAAGAGCCTGATTCCGAGTCCGAGTCCGAGTCCGAGTCCGAGTCCGAGGTGAGGAAAACTGACAAAGGATTTGATAAGAAACTAATTCATTGGAAGGTCGACTATTACCTCTCTTGGAGGACCAGTCCTAATGAGCCCATGTCATTATGGTGTATTGTCTTCTCCAGGAAGCCTACCGGGCACCTAGAAACCGTCGAGTCCAAGGTCTGGATGTGCAGCTCTAAGCAAAATACGCAGCAACGTTCGTCGGAGCACTTTCATGAGGACCCTGCAAGGCGATTCCGCCCCCGTTGTATGTATTTTAACGCAGCACAACAAATTGGCGTTTGATTACCCTTTGCAGCCATCAAATCGTCAGATAATATGGGGACTCTCAGATTAGAAATCAGGCGACTCAATGGTACCGTGAACGCAGTATGCTTGCTTGGAGTAGACGATCTGGACATTGACATCCTGGATGAAAAGTATCCATGGATTGTGTTCGAATTCAACTTCAAGCGGAAAAATAATGACGGTGAGTGGAATTCTATTTGCAACCAAACCTACCTTAAAATTCTTTCCTAGAAGTTTCCGCGTTCTCGAATCCAACAACCACACGCATATATTCTCAAAAGAGAAAACGCCAAGCAAGTGCATCATCAAGTGCATCAACATCTTCTTCACCATCCCGAAAACATTCGTTCACTGACATCACTCCTCGTGAAAATACTTTGTCAAGTTCTAGAATCACCCCGAGAGCTGGCGCTGGCCCTAGAGGGAAACCCACAAGCTCTAGTCTTCACTCTTCTCATAGTGTACCAGCATTGATTGCAGCTAGGAGTCCCCAACATTCACTGAATACCAACACAATAGTAGATCTACCAGCTCCTGGAGAATCCAATGTTAAAGCTTCGTCATCGGGAAAGGCTAAGGAGCCCAATTCTAATTTTTCCCCACCCACTAGCTCAGAACCTAACCAAGTTGAAGCTACAGATGACTATGTTAGTGGAGCACAGGCCGATTCTGATATTCTCAATCATTCTGGCAAGATGAAAGCCTCAGAATTTAGCCAAAATGTGTCATCTTCTCTACCTTCACCAATTGAAGTCATAGAGGCATGTACTTTATCAGTGCAGCCGTTTGACTTCTTTCACTTATTCCTTCATAGAGAGAGGCTGAAGAGCTGGAGCAGAAAAGCAAGAAACTGGCTGCAAAGATAGTTGCAAAAAAAGAGAAGGTTGGTTGGCAATACCCTTCATCCTTACTTTGGTGTTCACCACATAGGATTCTTGTACTGTTCCAGAAGCGCCGTAAGGGTGCCGAGGCCAAAATTGCCAAACTGAAGGCTCAAATTCAGGAACAGGAAGCGGAGTTAGGCTCATTCTCAACGGATTCCGAATCTGAAGGGATCTGAAGGGGATTGCCTCAGTGGCATTTGTACAGTGCTTTGCGAAATGGTTTGCTTGTATGGAGTTTTTACCAAGTGTTTATTGCTGTTTGTTTCTAGTTATTTGTCCAATACATTTTTGGGCCGAGGCTCGAGAGGGCTCTCTGTGAGGACCACCAGGGCCGTCGGGCTTCAAAAAGTGATTGATGAATCCTTTTTGGGGTAAAAATATATTGGACAAATAAATAAACACAAATAGATGTGAAAAAGTCGAGCAAGCAAAGACTTACGCAAAGCCAGGGGGCTACCGTCGGAGAAATCCGTGAATCCAACCTCTGTATCAAAAGCTTATGTGAGCATTCCCATACCTTCCGTTTTGAGCGAAATCGATACCCAACTGCCGAGATGCCGCTACGAAGTGATCAGCACTGATTCTGTGCTGCACACACTTTGCTGAGGCTTTTCAACCTTAACATGACACAAATATATCGAAGTATGAGAATTATGATAAAATTAAGTTCAGAGGAGGTTTTTAATGAAGATTTCAGTGTGTCAAACCCACATAATACTCTCTGTCCAACATATAATTCTGAATTCATGCACTCAGCAGTATTTAAAAGTACCCAGGAATGTATTGCTACCTAGAACTCGCAGGACCTGGTGCTAATACTGTGCGCAAAGGAAAATCACTTCGTAGCGGCACTTCGGCAGCTGGGTATCGATTTCGCTCAAAACGGAAGGTATGGGAATGCTCACATAAGCTTTTGATACAGAGATTGGATTCACGGATTTCTCCGACGGTAGCCCCCTGCGCAAAGCACTGTACAAATCCGAAGACTAATAATTACTAGGCTCCACTATCGTGGACGGAACCTTGCTTGGGTCAGGTTTCAAGTACATGACATTGTATATAAAGGTAAATATAACACAGGGCTAAAGATATACGGACGCCCGATAATCAGTGCGTATGTTGTATCGAGGACACCTCGAATTTTGACATGGTCTTCCTGTGTTCCATCGCCAATATTCCACCTCTGTGTCTCGTTCTCTGTTGTCTACCATCTCCCCCGACCATAAATGTCTTCCCGTGCCTGCATCTATGAAAGTGCGCCACAGTCCACTGCAGTGCCAGCCGCAATGTAAGGTCTTCACTGCGTTATCGTCTGCAGTGGCACTACGAAATTCCCTGCGGCCGTGCAACGGAGGCATCGCGTACGGTCCTGTGTTGCCAATTACAACCTTTCCCTCTGTCACATCATCCGGGTACCCGACGTATACTCCTGACCCGTTGATAAAGCTGCAACCGATTGTGTCTCCATATCCGAGTATCATTGCAAGTGGCGACGACCTTTTACCAACCAATATTCGAATTCGAGCTCCCTATAAGCCAGATGTCAGGACACACGCAATGTGAAATAAACATCACTCACACTTTTGCCTTCAATCTTCATGTATTTCGCGCAATAATCCTCGAAAATGTTCGGTACCCTAACGACAGTGCAGACGAGGCGCTCTTTTAACATGAAATCAGACCACAATTCCTCCGCCAACCGAGGAGCAAAAATGAGTAACGGAGTGTTCAGTTTTTCAGGCGTTACGTTGAGAAACCGCAAAACAAACTGTCCTCCGACCACGCTTTTTGTTTTCGTCAGCATGTTAACGAATGCCAATGGTTGTTCGGTGTAACTTTTCAGCAGCTCCACCACTCTAGTATCCATAAAATGTGAAACTTCTGCTGCATGGAAACGAGAAACCCTTTTCAGCATGGTCCACTCTCGCAAACCTAACTGCCGAAGTATCTTCTGTTCTATCTGTGTTGGTACGTTCCGGTGAAACAGATAATTCGCACTGTCATCATGTAGAGGATCCGAACATCCTGTATGCTGTTACTGATCAAATCTGTAACCGTAGTCAAACTTACACACCTTTGGAGTACGTCGTTGATGGTGATCCGGTCCCAGCAGTCAATGTCTGTGAATTCTCGTGACACTGCCCAATGCTTGATGACGAGGACGTTCCCTCTTGGCGCTGTTCCGTCTTTAATTGAACGTTGAATGGCTTCGTTGAGTCGTCGCTCCCGCACGCTCGGGTTACCTTGGACCTCTGTATAGATACTGAACAAAGCTCTTCGTCCTCGCCCATCAAATCGTTCAACTTCATGGCGTCCCAAACACGCGAAAGCGCCTTTGTCTGTACTGATGCCATTGAACGTCGGAGGTATCCAGAAATCGGTATAAATGTATTGAGGTGCTGTGTCAACAGGATCGTTGTACTGTGGTACTAAAGGTACTGGAACAATGTCAATGTAACCGTCGTACCCGTATAACAGTCCTTGTCGATGCAGAGGAAAATCCTGAACAATAGTTCATAGTGAGTTCTATGCCACATAAAAGCATAATATTAATGCACGTACCGTTGCGATGTTGGTGAAGTATTCTGCCCTTTTCGTCACGGCTCTTTTTTTCCTTTGTTTGACTGGCGTCAACATTGAATTCGAAATGAATCTTCCGCTTATTATACTCTCTGTTGAAGTTGTCGCGGGTTCAATCGGAAGTCTCGCTTACTTCGGAGGTTACGGTGGTAGGCATCTGGTATTCGTATGTGGCGCTTACTCCGCCTTACTTCGCTTAATTGTAGTTATGCACAGGTCTGCTCAGGTTCAGATTATGCGACTATGTTCAGATTATGCGTCCATGCAGCGTCTAAGCTGCTTTTTTTGCGAAGTACCCGTGCAAACGTCTACACATCTTAAATTCTAAAATCACTAATTTTCGATTCTTAACATGCGTTTCTATTGACAATAACTGTTACAATACGAGTTTTCACGCCACACGCCATGGTAACTCATTCTGCACGCATCTTACCTTTTTTGACAACTTTGTGTCCTTTGTCTCCCTCGCCGTCGTCATCAACTTCGTCCGCTTTTCTTCCGCGCTTCAGCACTTTTGATCTGACGTTGTCCCTAGCTGAATCATCACTGGGTGTCGTTGGCAACGATCCTGCAGCGGGATTCGATGTTGCAACCCCTGAAACGCGATGTATTATACAATACAGTGAAACTGTGCGTTCACATACCTTCCAGATGAACTCCCGGCCCTGCTTCGTTATCATGTTCTCCAGAGGTGTTGATGTTGCGCAATGTACCTATAAAATTACTGGTTCAATTTACATGCACACGAAAAATGAACGGAGCCTACCTTCACCTGTCGCGGCTTCCAGGCCAGAGGTGTCATTCCCTGTGCCACCAGTGTTCAGGTTCATTTGCGAGCCGCCGCTGTTGTGGTATGTTCCTGTAACTTGGGTGTTCAATTCAGAGTGCACCCACGAACGCAAGTGGACTAACCCGTACGTTCCGCTGTTCCTCCCTGCGGACGTGTCACGTCGTTCCCTCTTGCAGCTGTACTGTCATTGCTGAAACCGTTCTGATACCGATAGAGCTGGTGTTCTTGTATTCCATTTAGTAACCTTTGTCACCTACTTGAGAATGATCGTTTACCGTTTCCGCCGCGGCTATCGACGTTGTATAACGGAGTCAAAGCATTCATCTCTGAAGCGGGATTGTATACAGTCGGGTATTCTCCCATATGACCTGTGGTGATGAATGTATCAGTAATCACGCTTTATGAGATCCGTTGACATACCGTGGCTGTTGTTATCAAAGTGGTGTCCGCTGCCGCTCAAGTGATTATCCCTTCCTATATTCACTGCTCAGCACTCGCGTGTACTCAATTTGTATAAACTAACCTTCGATAGGAATACGTTCTCCTGTGGGAAGCCTATCAGTAGTACCGAAGGCAGGTCCAAGAATGCGTGGAGGGCTGGTAGCGTTCCCCGGAAACTGCTCTATAACCCCTTGGTAGGGCGACGCAATCGTGTTCATCCCGCCAGGTGTGGGTGAACCATAGTTCAAAGGATAGTGAGGGCTACCACGAGTCGGGGTTTGAGGTGAACTACCATAGGGAATAGCACCGAGAATCGAAGTGTCATGTTGGGGAGAACCAACATTCTGAAAGGCAAAAAGTGGTTGGGTGCGATACACGGGCGTGTGACCTACAAATATGTGAGACGACAGATCATAAAGCAAAATGTCAATTACAACTGACCACCCTCTGAATTACCGCTACCTCCGTTCGACGCCAGGACACTGTGTTGCGGAGTTACGGGAGGTGTCAGAGGAAATATACTTTGAGGACCAGCAACATCTTGAGGAGTGTTGAGCAGATCCACACGAATAATGTCCGCGGCAAACGAAAAAGGCTCGTTGGGGTTGAACCGCCAGCAGCGGAGCCCGAACGATACCCGAACGGTAGCCCCAGCTATGATACCGCGTACTCTCTTTATTGGAATCACTTCGCCATTTCTCCCGAACAGCGGGAACGGCGCGAGTGCCTGCGTCTGCCTGATTTCGGTCCAATCACTGTTATCCCTCTTGTCTTTCGGAATGGCCGCGAAAAGTAATTCTGTGGTATTCATCAGTCACTGTGTATATGAATGAGAAGTGTCGGTTTCTCACCGTCGCTTGCCTCCCCTTCGTCCAAGTCCTATTGAATTTGTTAGCATTCAACTTCTTTGACAAGAATTTTGGATATGTATTACTTACGCGAAACACTTTGCAACCCATTTTGATAAGGGAATCCAACGGAGGGACGTTTTCATGTACGAAAAGATATCTAACCTTTCGAGTGTTGTTTGCACCAGCCGTTTGAAGCTCTTTTAACTTCGTTACGGCTACAATCCACTCATTTCGAAAGACCCCGGACAAAGGCGGTCCTAGTTGGAACGAACGGCGTGATCCAGCAGGTGGGTACTGTCCAGAGGGTGTCCAACCCCCCAACAAACCGGTGTTGTTCAAGTTTGTCCCTACCCGACCAACAATCTCGAACGGTACAGAAGTCGGCGTATCTTGCCCCGCGGAGAGGGGTGCACAGAACCTCTTCTTCCCGTCCAGCGTAAACCACTCACACCCTTCAGGTAGAGGACCCTCACGGCCTAAATAAAACAAGCGGCCTTGAAGTGTCTGGTGAAGCTGCGAATATTCGTTCGGCGTCATCTACGACTTCATGCATCAGTGGTAGTACAAATATGAAAACGAAGTCCTTACGTTCTGATTGTTCATTGTCCTAAATCGACGAACGGAGAGACGTATGAAAGGCAAGTCAAAATATATGCCATCCTTATACATACGGGGAGTTGTGGACTTGGAGCCTTCCGAGCAGTATTGTTGAGTTCTTGAACTTTCCGTGTCTCGCCTAAGTATCCAGGGTCGGCTGAAGTCTGAGTATTGGAGATTTACGGTTAGCGAAATTAAGAGCAAAGCGAGGTATGGACCCTGAAGGAAACCGTGGCGTACATGTACCCCTGTTTTCCCGCCACTCAGAAAAACACGACCCAATTTGGAACGTAATTATGTTATGCTGCGAAAGTGTTCGCACTTGCTGAATCCATGGAGAACGACCGATCACGCATTGAATCATTGCTGAAAGCCTACACAAAAAGGGAAATCATCTCAATATTGAAGGAGCACGACATCCACTTGCGAGCCACAGATATCCGAAGCAAAGCAGAGATATGTAAAGCACTTCACAGGTTGCCAGCAGAAATTCTCAGCGTTATTGTCGTGTCCCTTACCTCAAACCGCACGATCCCTGAACGGACCCACGAAATCAACCTAGAACTACTTCAGCACTTCAGCAAAGATGAACTCATGGCAATCACAGCGAGCGAAAGTATCCCCGTACCTGTGACACTGTTCAAGAACAAAACCAAACTCGCGAAATACTTCACTTCACTCACACCTGCGGTATACAACCAGTTGTATCAGCGTTTACAACCCGTGAGTTGCATGTTGTCCCGAATTTGTGCTGCGATTCTGATATCAATTCCCAGCATGTACAGAATCCAGTACATGTTCAGCTTGGTCATAAAATCGCCTCATGTACAACGTCGGAGATTTTGAGTGCGATGCGTGATGTAGGGATGGACATTGGGGGTTTCGAAGCTGCGAGTAAAGATTGGATCGCAGAACTCATCACGCAACAGCCACCGCCCGTTATGTCAAAGCTGATGTTACGCCTGGAGCCACCCCGAGTTCCTGTGCTCGATCGACCATTCTTGAATGTCCCAGACGAACAGAGCCGTCGCGAGCTTGTAAACGATTTCATTGCAGCAACGGGAAATGCGGCTGTACGACAAGTGATCTGTTGTATCTGTGCACGACAGCTGTTCAGTTCAGAGGCAGAATCAATATACCCCGCATCCATACCCAATGCTGGACTGTTGAAACCCCTCAAAAGTCACCCTGCACACATTCTAACCGTTGGAATGCTGTTGTACTATGATCCCTTAACCAAAAAAGTTCCTGGTTACGCATGCAAAACGTGCTTCCAACACTTGTCAGCACCGACACCGAAACGACCTCCGTTGTCACTTGCCAACAATATGTGGCTAGGAGAAGTTCCTTTCCAATTGCGCATTCTCTCGCTGTGTGAGCGCATCCTGGTGTCTAGATTCTTCGCCGCTGCGTACATTGTCAAGCTTTTTCCAAAAAGTCGCGGAGCTCGAGGCTTACCGAACGAAATGCTCACCAGTGCGGTGAGAGGCAACGTATCGTCGTACTTTTTGAATACCGAAGATATCATAGGTATGATCGATCCTGGTTATCTACCCCCTCGCCCGGCGATCCTTGCGGCAACTATAGGCGTGACGTTCATTGGCCCAAATAACATCCCGTTAAAACAACTTCCTGCTTACCTCCGCGTTCGGCGAAATCGTGTTCGTGATGCACTCTGTTGGCTAATTCCCAGAAACCCGCTATACGAAGGGCAGAAGATATCGGAGAGTAATTTGAATGCACTTCCCGAAGACGATGTTCCTTACGAAGTCTCCCACAACATGAAGTGGGTGGACGATGTAGGGGTGTTGGATAAGGAGAATGGGGGTTATGTGCCGAATCAAGATCAGACCGATGAGAATGGCGAAGAAGGTCCAAGTAATGATATTTTCCGAAGCGACGATTGTGAGTGAAAGTTTACGGTCCAGAGAGATTCCATTCTGAAATCGGCATCAAAGTTGAACGATGTTCCGACAGTGAGTCAGATACTGGGGAAGAGGAAAATCACAATTTCAATGATTATGGCAAAGTCGAAGAAGGTATTATTGATTGATTTATGTTCATCTTTCACATCAATTAAGTCGTAACTCCCCACACAGCGCCTTTGCAAGCACTAGGTGTTGTCGATGTTGATGGTAGCACAATTCCGGAAAGCGATGTATTTGCACATGCAATGCGCAATACAATTTCCCAAAGTGAGAACTATCGCATCAAACCTGGGAGTTTAGTTAACACCTATGGGAGGAAGAATAAAGATGGTGAACTTACGTGGGGCACGGTTGAGAATCCTAACCATCTGTTGGGGTGCTTTCCCCACCTGTTTCCGTATGGTGAAGGAGGTTTCGAGACCGAGCGGCCAATTGAAGTGTCATATGCAGCACACGCGAAATGGGCATTACAGTACGCAGATAGACGATTTCGGATGGATCACCAGTTCATCTTTCAGGTTTTTGGCGTTATTCAAAGGCGAGAAATATGCGCGAAGGCAAGTCTTCGGATCAGTCGCTTCCAGTTCAGGAAACACGAGGAAGCCATTCGAAAGTTGACAGCGAAAGATTTGCTACAGGCTAGTGAGGAGGAGAAAAAGAAAAAGCAGATTACAAACCCTGCAGTACGGGCGCTTCGGTCCCAGCTTACGGCGGTGCGATCGAAAGTACTTGCGACAGATGAACATCGAGCAAGTGTCCGGGCACAGATATGGTCCCTGAACGTGGCATTCAACCCACCTTCGTTGTGGATCACCATAAATCCCTCCGATACACATAATCCCATTGCGCAGGTCTTCGCAGGTGAAAAAATAGACCTCGATACCTTTCTTTCTGATCGAGGTCCGTCATCAACGCAGCGTGGAATTAATTTAGCGAGAGATCCGTACGCTGCTGCGCAATTCTTCCACTTCACGGTACGGGCAACTCTAGAGGTATTGTACGGTTTTCGAAGGACCGGTTTGGGGCATCCCATGCGTCGAGCTGGCATCGTGGGGTTGGTCCAAGCACATGTGGGGATGGTGGAATCGCAAGGACGAGGTACACTACACCTGCACACGATAATGTGGCTGCAGGGTGCTCCCAATCCTACTGAAATGAGAGACGCACTGAAATCAGCAGAATTCCGGGCGAAGGTGGTGAAATTCATCTCAACGACTATGAGAGCAGACGTCGGGAAAACACAGTCTGAACTAATGGCCATTCGACCGAAAGCTTCAGTTGCATACGACCGTCCCCTTTGTCCACAAGACCCGGACTACGAGACGAAGCGATTGAAACGGGAAGTCGAACTTGCACGTACACTGCAATTCCACGAATGCAGCCCAGAGCGATGCTACAAACTCATAAAAGGGGCTTTGCGGTGTAAAAGGCGTGCACCATGGCCAACATCACAGTTTGACTTCATCGACGAAGATGGAACATGGGGAATGAAGCGAACGGTCGGTTTCCTCAATGGATTCAATCCCACCATCCTGGAAACGCAGCTCTGCAATAATGATCAAAAACTGGTTACGAACGGAGACGAAACACAGGATATGACATACTATATTACCACTTATTCCACGAAAAAGCGGGACCGTTCCACGAATGAGAGTGCAATATTGGCGCAGCGATTGGCGTATCATCATGAACAAGAACGTAGAAATCATGATATGATTCAAGCATCAAGGAAATTGGTCATGAGGTGTGCTACTGCGTTGAACCGTCAGCAGGAATTGAGTGCACCAGAGGTCATCAGCTACCTTATGGGGTGGGGGGACCGGTATATTTCCCACACGTTTGTTCCGATATACCTGGAAGGCATACAGTCAACACTTCGAAAACATTACGCAATATTACAAGAGAAGAGGTATGGGCATTTCGAGTGGACTCACAAACTTAGCCCTGATTTTGCCTTCACAGGTGGGCGCGCGTCGTGAGGGAAGGAGGTGGTTGTGAGATAGAGCAAGTACCCGATAATACAGCTGCAGAGGTAAATCCAAGTCATATCTGCTTTCAGTATAGCTAACAAGATCAAAGGCAGAGGAAATTACACTCACCATGGTTTCAGGAGAACTAGAGACGCGAACCCAACTTGACGACTATACCGACCGCGGTGACAGCCTGCAGCACTACAATGTGAAAGACTTTTTTGCTGACACATACGATAAGTACGAGAAAGACAGCGAAGGCGGGATGGAGAAGCTGACGAAGTCAAAACGGACTGGTAGAATAGCCGGATTTCGACATCAGTACGCGCCGAATAAGAAGCCGAACCATGTTCGGTTGGTACGCCAGGATGGTCACGAAAATGTTCCACTCTACGTCGGACGTTGGTTCCCTCGTAATGATCGTCCAGAGGATAGGACAATATATATTCTTCTGATGCTCGCAATTCTGAAGCCATGGAGGAAGATCACCGATATCACAAAAGGCTTTCATACTTTTGAGGACGCATGGTCGGACTTCACAGACCATTGTTCGGACCGTATGCACGACTTCATTTCTAATGTCCAGTACTTTTATCGGTGCTCGGACCAATCAGCGGCACGGCGTGAGAAGGAATACCAGACCTATGTTGCTCCCGAGCAGGCGGAAAGCGAGATGGTGATTGAAGAACGAAGTGGAACTGGTGTCGCCGACGACGAATTTGCATCCGAAGAAGACATCTACAAAGCGCAACAGCGAGAAGGAATGGCGCAGGAGATGTACGCGTATACCGCAATGGAGAGCGCATATCACGCAGGAGTTTTCGAACGTGAATTCGAGCCGGTTGCGGGCGCTCCATTTGCAGGACGGTGTACATTAGAGGAGAAGGTGGATTTCCAGGATTGGCACAACGAACTTGTCGAGTACGCAAGTTCTGGAGCGCAATTGGTTGTGGATGACATCGTGCGGGACCTCGGGAACGTTGTTGTGAACCCTTCAACATCCGCGATTGTTGAAAGAGAGCATATCGGAACTGACGAAGCGAGCCACGATGATTCAGGAAGGGGTCTACGTGATAGGCTGAACGAAGAACAAGGACGGGCGCATGACATTGTGGTGGACCATCTTGAAAGGACACTTGCAGGCCATGAACCGGGTCAGCTTCTTTTACTTCTGCAGGGAGCAGGGGGAACGGGAAAAACTGTCGTTATCAACGCTATCAGTGAGACGTTTCGACGACTAGGACTGGAGAAGTTGCTCGCGAAGACGGCCACAACTGGCGTCGCAGCGTCCCATTTCGGAGGAAAGACCCTGCATACGTGGGCAGGAATCAAGGTCGGTGCGAAAGCAGGAGAGGATTTGATTGCAAATGCGTCTGCCGCGATACAACGGCGGCGGGCAGTGAATATAGGTCCTGCTAGGTACTTGATCCTTGATGAGTGTTCCATGGCCACAAAAGAGCTTCTAGGACGGACGAGCACGATATGTGCCCACGTAGCAGCCACTGAAGACAAACCCAGTCGCGATCAGTATTTCGGGGGAATGAATGTCATCCTATGTGGGGACTTCCACCAGTATCCTCCCGTTGGCAACGGCCGTGGAGCACTGTACGAACCGAACACTTCTGGAGCGAATTCATACTCTATAATGGGTCGACATATCTATACGGAATTCCATAACGTCGTGACTTTGAGGCAGCAGATCCGAGTGAAAGATGTGCGTTGGATGGCATTGTTGACCCGCCTTCGAACAGGTTCGTGCAATGCGGAAGATTTAGAGGAGCTTAAAAAGCTCAGACTTGACATCGAAACGAATCCTCAGATAGACTTTATGCAGGCAGGATGGAATAGCGCAGTGTTGATTACACCAAGGAACTCGGTTCGTCGGAAGTGGAATAAGGCAGCCGTACGGCGTCACTGCAAAGTGAACAATGAGCGTTTGTATTCATGTCCCGCGGAAGATACTATTGCTGGAGATTCACTCACGCCAGCGCAGCTTCTCAGGATCGCCAAGCTTGATATCAAGAGGACTGGGAACCTTGAGCACCGAGTAGAGATTGCCGTTGGTATGAAAGCAATGGTATTGGCTAATATCGCCACCGAAGCCGACCTAGCAAACGGAACCAGAGGCACGGTGACGAAGATAATACTGGACGAACGCGAACCCATACAGCATGAAGTAATGGATGGTGCAACAATACTGCATTACCCTCCTGCTTGTATTTTTTTCAAACCCGATGGTGAAACATCTGTTCGCCTGAAAGGTTTTCCACAAGGATTACTGCCCATTGTACCGCAGGAGACAAAATTCAGTGCCGCTGTGAATGCGACAGGTAACCGGACGATTCTTCGTCGGCAGCTAGCATTGACCCCAGGATATGCGTTCACTGATCTAAAGAGCCAAGGCCAAACCATAGAGTACGTTATCGTCGATTTGGCAAGTCCCAACTACGGCAGTAAGTTGAACGCATTCGGAGCATATGTGGCGTTGTCTCGTAGTCGGGGAAGAGACACAATCCGAATACTGCGCGGGTTTGATGAAGGACTATTCGTCACTCATCCGTCACCCGTGTTAGAAGCAGAAGATCAGAGGCTAGATGAATATGAAGAGGTAACAACGAAGGCATGGACAGAAGGAAGGTTGTGGGAAAATTAGTCACATTTCACGCTCACGTGTGATAGCGATTAGATTGAACTTTCAGTTATCTTAGACGTAACTGCAAGCACAACAAATGACATTAAGGCAACATATTAACCGAATTCAAACCGATGGACTACGAACGGTAGGTACAACAGCTATTGCAATAATTACCACAGCGAGGTTTAACGGATGAATGAATAAACGTACAGGAAAGGTGACATTCCAAAAGTGACTGTTTGTCTCTGTCGGATACAACAGATATATGTAGGGCAGTTGTCAGTGTACGCCCACTCCATGCGCGATCGATAGCGTCGCGATGAATATTTTGCAATGAATATGACTTAGGATAAAAAGTATGCACAATAAGGCGGGAAAGAGATGGACTTATATGAGTAGAAAAGTCGTAAAATGAATTGATTATAGTTTTCTAAACACCAATGAGAATGATGTCACCACATAAAATAGTGCAAAGCTTACATCGGGAGTGCTGGAGTTTGCAATTAAATTGCATTCGAAAAGCTCGAGAGTATGGAACACGGATTCGAACATCCGTAGTTCATCAATAGTAAAGCAGTCAATCTGAAGGAAACGTAAGTCGCGGAGGGATGGTATCTGCAAAAGTCCGTCAATCAGGTGCCCCAGTTTCGAAGTTTCAGGCTTCCAATCAGTGATAATGACTGTGGTAAGCGGGCGAAAAGGGTATGAAGCAACAACTGGTACAACGTGACCACAACCAGAGAAACATTCCAACAGGGGAACTAGTCGTGGATCCTTCAGGAATGACAATAAATCGACAGTCCAACCAGGGACATAACCAAGTTTTTTGATCTTCGGGTGACGGAGAAGGAAAGCAGCAATATCGAGGTCACCATCAATATCAAAAAGGTGGAAGTCTTCCAAGTGCGGGAAGACAAACGACGTAGAATGGAAGAGAGCGTTCATCGCAGTCATAGGTCCCTGTCGTAATGCGTCGAAGACGATGTGAAGGGTTCGTAGAGACGGACAACGCAGTTGCACATTGTTGAGTGCGTTTGCCGCAACCGGAAAAATCACTAACAGTATGTTCATTACTATTTAGAGAGAGTTGATGGTGATGGACGGATTAGACAAACCTGGAACGGATACCATGTGAAAGTCAAGCGTGAGGTTCCTTAACGTTCGAGAGCACAATGCAGTCTAACGTATTGGATTAAGCAAAGATAAATCATACAACATGAGCACTAACCATTAATGAGGAGAACAGATCGACGGGAAGGTTTGGAGGTGTGGAGCAACGGAGAGACACCGCCTCGAAACCGTTAGACTCGAAATTAGCCATTCTGGGAACAGGGCGCAAGTCACAGAGATAAAAAGGCTGAAAAGTAAACGACTTTTTGTTTTTCGCGTAACGGGAAACGTTATTGAACGCGTCCACGAAATAAGTGAGAAATGTGTCGTTGCTTATATCAGGAGCAATGCGGACATGCTCGACGTAGTAAGCTGGATGGCGGCAACCCATAAGTTCCTGACATTCGGAAGACGGTTTTGCAAGCGTGGGAAGGGCTCTTTCGGTGACTTTGGCGTATAGATTGGGGATGGATGCGATATAAGCCTGTTTGCACACCAAAGGAAGTGCGACTACGGTAGTAGCACAATCGACAGTGTAAAAAGCAATGCGAGACAGGATCTCTGGGGGCATTCCTTGGAACGAAGTAGTAGCCATAAGCGAGGGAGGGAAACACAAACGGAGACAAAGTAAATATAGAACGAAAATAGAAAGGGCCACCTCGAACGACAAAGACGTGCATGGGCAAAATCGGAAAGCTGTAGACGTGCCATGTGCATTGCAGTGTCGCTAGTGAGTCGGCAGGGTTGGTGAAATTTCACTTATGAGGGACCCTGCACATCTCCTGAGTACGCACGACAAGCGTTTAGACTTTGCTCCGTTCTGGTCCGGATCCAGATCCAGATCCACTTACTGGTGGATGGAGGGGAGACGCAAAAGTTTCAATAAAGGTAACAAGTCCGATAAAGTTGGCTATTATACATTCCCTGCCCTACCCATGTCGTTCGAAGACAGTCTTGCCTGTCTGGGGCCTGTTTCTATAACACCGAATGAAATCTGGTACCATATTGGAGGCTTCGCCGACCACCAATCAGTCGTCGCACTAGCGGCTTGCAACCGTCGACTGTCCGGTATTCTGCATCCTATGATCTGGAAAACCTTACGGATTCATCAGCCCGCCAAATTGATCGAGTACGCACCGGTATGGAAGAAACGCGCACGCCAGATCTTCCCACTAGTCAAAAAAGTGATATTAGGCAACGTCCAATCATTCGATGTCATAGTTGAACACTCGGTAGCGCGATATAGATATGGAAACGACTGGCGAAAACACACAGCGATATTGAGGCTGTTCACATCACTCCGCTCAATCACGTTCATTGGGATGTTTTTCCCTCGGAGGTTCGCACTAGTCCTCGATTCACTGACAACAGTGGAGGAACTATCCCTTGTCCGCTGTTGTTTCCACCCTTTGGTCGATTTTACGGGGGTGAATCGGAACATTCGGAGACTGATGGCAGAAATCATGTGTTGGCACGGCGTCAGTCAGAGCCTTTCCTTGATTCGATGTTTGGATCCGGAGTACGTTGTTGTGGTGTGGAGATCAAGCTTTGTGGGCAAGAATTTCATAACAGAACTTCCAAAAAGTGTTCGGACACTCACCGTCAAGTCAACGATGTGGACGTGGCCAACGGATGAAAGTTGTTGTGTTCGAGAGAGATCGCGATTCGTGCAGTTCATGGAAGCGTTCCCTCAGTTGAAGGAGTTGCGTATCGAAGGTCGCGTACCAAACCGCCAAGGAGATGCAACATTCCTTACCCACCTTCCATCTCTGGAATCGTATTCCGGGCCCATGCATCTGTTCACGTCAGGCGGGATAGATGCGAAGTTGCTGAAATTCGTGAACTTCACCGATGACCGTGTTGCGTCAATGGCAGTTTACAACCACTTGCCTGACATGAGAGATGTGACGGGATTTACGATGCGAGGTTCGGTGACAGACGATGAGGTATATGCACAAATCATGGAGCGGTGTCCGAATTTGGATACGCTCAGAGTACTGGCACCTGCGAGCGCTGGAAATTGGTTGCGGGTGAGAGCAGAAACGACGTCGTTACCGTGCAGTATTTACTCACGAATGCAACAGATTAGCAAAATTCGCAGTCTTGAACAGAGTACATCCCTTCGACATATTACACTTGGCGGCAGAAGTTGGCGACGTGTAGGAAACAAAGGTGTAGGAAACGACTGGGAAGTAGTGTGTGACGGTGATGATGCGTTGTAGGGGAACTATTACAGGGATCACATAGTGGAAGGTGACGCAGTACGATTCTAGGCTAGTATCGGGTAAAATACCGCTTTAGTACAACCAATGTTGAGATATTGCAGATGTTGTCGTACCGGGCGAGTTCCTGGGAGGTGGAGTTGTAAGGGGTGTATTCCATACGAGGTTGTAACCCGTAGAATTCCGATAACGGTCCACGATTGATGATGAAATATCGGAATAAGAAGGGATATCAACGCGAAATTGACACCGCATTCGGGTATAGTTGCCTTTAAAAAAAGGTGGTTGGGACACGAAATGAGCGAGGATCATGTCCATTCTCGTCACAAAAGTAGACCTCATGGAACCAAATTACCTGTACCAGCTGTAGTAAGTATAAGCAGGTTTGTGCAAAGGACGAGAGCTTACTTAGAAGCTCTTGCTAGTTCACAAGGCATTCCAGATGCATTCTTCGCAGGCCTGGATCATAACGATCTCGACCACTTCGGCGCTACGTGTAGGTGGGGTCTGCAAGAGAAGAAAGCGTTTCTGCGCAGGTCGTTGAAAGTGGAGCCGATACTTCGTCGGTTCTTTTCGAAGGAAGAAATGAGTGAGTTTCATGACGTACAGGTGAGAAAGCCCAACAGCGGAATTTTACCTGATGTCCGAAAATTCACTGACAATTGAAAAGTCGGCGACAGGACTTCTTGTCTCGGGTTCAGCAGGTTACCAGTTCTTCAGCCGAGAAATTTATGACACCGATCTGGATACATACTGTGTGCTAAAGGAGTGTCTCATTGTGGGACAGTGGTATATGTCGATCCAATACAGATTCGCCAGAAGAGAACATCAGCTATCATCATTCGCAGAAGATTTCGAACGAGTGAAGAACCTACAAGATAACGACGGCCGTGGGCAAACTGATTATGACGATGATAGCATTGTGCAAGTATGGGACTTTCAAAACGATAAGGGAATTACTATTCAACTCATAGCAGCACGGCACTGCGCGGTTGATGTGGTGTTGTCATTCCATTCAAGTGCGTATCAGTTGTTTCGACAGAGTTCAATGTTGAAGTAGTTCTAGCGTGCGTAATGAACTTCATCTCCCATCGGGCAGCATATTCGTTGTTTCCTCGCGCGACGTTCAAGGATAAAGTGACTGTCAAACTGGATAATGGGAAACATAACCCGTCGTACGAAGCAGGAATTCAGAAATATGTGAGTCGCGGTTTAAGGGTTATCGAAACACCCGCGATCTCGCGGATGTTGGATGGAAGATCGGATTTGGCGGCTGTCTGCCCACGATTTATGGACGATTCGAGGTCGTGGTTTGTTCCGATACAATATTGCGGGCGAACGCCAAGTCAACCTGACTTCGCGGCTGCAAACAGCTTTCAAATGGCGTATGAGCAGGACGGGAACAAGATCTTGTCGATGGCAATAATAGGTTCGGGGATGCAGCACAATTATGTGGTTGCACCTGGAGATTGGGAATACCTGGAAGAGAAGCTCAACGAAATCGAACAATTCATGTATGACGGAACCTTACAGTAAGTGGACAGTGGGGATAATAATAGGGGCACTGACAAACGGGGACGCAGGCGTGATGTTGGTGTACTTATTTTGCAGCGTCTAAACCGTTCGCGAAGAACAAGTTACGTGTGGGACGAAACGGCAGTGAAGGTTGCACGAGAAGTAGCGCAGCTAGTAGAAAGGCCACCGACAGCAATTTTCGAGTTGCACGAGTTCGTTATGGAAGTGAATCGAGCACATCCAGGAATGACTGTGGTGAGTAAAATTAATGCTGCGAGGATCTGAGTCTTACGGGTGCGTAGTCGGTGGCAATGGCGCGAAAAGGAAGCAGGCGTGAGGAGGCTATCAAATTGGTCGTCAACATTCCGTATCCGAGAAAAATGAGACTCGATGTTTGTCGATTCAATGAGTGGGTTGATGTGTTAGATGAGGAGGGCATTATTGTGCGTTTCAATTGGAAACATGCACATTTTTTATCATAATGAAGAGGGTGTAACCACGAACATGCAACGATCTTTGTTATTTCACTGCGTACAAAGGCATGACATAAGATTAACAGTACGTGAAAACACACAATGATGAGCTGAAAGAAAGCGCGACGGTGAGCAGATAGAAACGGGTAAGTGGTGAAACATACCGATCAACGAAAATGCGCGAAAGTTATGGAAATGGAGGAAATCAACGACGCATGTAGGAACGAATCAACGCTGGATGAGAGAAAAATGTCAGTTGGGGAAGGACATAAATATGGAGGGAAATACCATTTTCATTGTAGGTGATTTTGTTCACTCTAGGTCGCAGTTGACGGCTGGAAGGGGGGAGAGGAGATCGTTTCAGCCGACGGGACTTGCGTTGGGAAGTGGTGGGAGTACGATCAGAAGTTCTAGGGACGGGATGGTGTTGATTTGGGGTTGCTGAACGGATGCGTGCAGATGGGCCGGCTGATGGCTGAGGTACAGAGACAGGAGGCAGTACATCAGGGAAAGAAACGGAGGCACTCTCCTGTTTTTTCACAGGAAGGGGCAATGAAGGTAAATCTTCTTTTTTCACTGTAAGGCAAGGAGAAACAGATTTCTCTTTTTTGGGACGGAAAGATGCCATAATTGACGAACACAACGAACTGCGTTATATACGATAACATCGTAAGCGAGGTAAGAACCACAGGCGATGTTGTGGATGGCCCGATTTGTTCCGATGCTCGCGCATCAATTTGAAATTTGAGGAGAATATAGGGGGTGAAAGAACGAAGGAGGGCAAAGTTGAATACGGATTTGGTAGATATAATATACATCCACGGAGTAAGAAAGCGGAACTGATTTCGGAAGTATATGGAAGCATGAGTGGTACTACGGTGCAGCGCAAAAGCGTAGGCAGGAGAGGAAGAGAAGAAAACCAGAAATATGAAAGAAAGCGGTCGCGTAATTTAGGGGTGAAGGTTACGTGGAAATGGGGACCGGAAAAGAGCGGAGATCGGGAACGAAGGTATAAGAAGGCCCCAGCGAAGAAGTTGAAGAGGAAAGGAACGCAACCCAAGTGACAACCACGGTACGACTGCAAAGAAAAAGTGTAAGAAATAGCTAATTATTGGATAGGATGGACGCACTAGTAACGGTTGCACAGGACGACGTTCAGAAGGGACAACAGACACCCGACAGCAAAGGAAAACATCAGGGTGAAGTGCCCGCAGAAACGGAAGGGCCAAAAAAAAAATCTAGAAAGGGCGGGGAACGTCAAGCAGTACCCGCAATTTATGTAAGCCATGGTGGACGTACAGACACAGGAAACGCACAGTATCCATCAGTAGCGAGCGCACAATATCCACCAATACCGAACTTGTATCCACCAATAACGAACGCACAATATGCACCAATACCGAACGGACAGTATCCGACGGTAACAAAGACACAATTTCCAGTGGTGGTGAGCAAACAGTATGCACCAGGAACGAATACCGTAATTGGGCCGCTGGTGGCAACGCAAAGAGGCGGAGTGGGACACATCTTCATGCACGGCACTGGCGACGATGAAGTAGACGGAGGAGGCCTAATGACGACAGAGAATCGGGGAGCAGGTACTTTGGTAGACATGGGAGCTGAGTGGGGGGGGACGTTGCACGAATTTACAGGAAACGATCCCCGCTTCCGGGACTTCGATGTCAATGGGCAATGGTGGACAGAGGTAGGCGTGCACGCGCAAGTCTCAGGGGGGCGTGTATTTGAAAGTACGGGGAGCGTTAGTACGGATGGGGTGATGAAGACATTTAAATGTTGCTATTCACGAGTAGAAACGGTAAGGAAATGACAACATTTTGTTAAGGAGGCAGAAAACTGACTTATGACCAGGTTTATATGAACGTAACCTCAACGCTGCAAGCAGGGGGAAAAAGAGAATTCAACATCGAGTGGAATGTTCGCGTTCATTTGCGGGAGGGACAAGATTTCGAAAAAGAACATTTGTTTTTGAAAGGATACACGCAGTGGCTACTGCAGGCCGGTGTGGTAATGAGTGTGGTCGTCGTAGGTAGCAGCGGAAAGGTGGGAGTAGTAAGCGGCGTGTAGAAATAGGATGATAGAAATAGAACGAAAATGACTGTGGCAATGAGTGTGGTCGTGGCAGGGTCGTGGGCAACGTACGACGTAGCAGTAGCAAGCAGCGTGTATGTAGGTAATAAGCGCTAGTTTGATCCGGAAGCAGGTGCCAAACATGAGCAAAATGTGCCTGCACATCAAGAGGTCAAATACCGAGTGGAATAGACCTTGCAAGCAAGGTGATGGCCCTTGTTGTCGCTCACTATTTCACTGATTTCCGAGTCCGAAAACAGAATAATTTTGGACTTTCCTTTTGCTACTCTAAATGATAAATCTAGGGAAAAATACAGCTAAAGTAACCCACAAACTGCCCTAAGATAAGGTTACACGATCGGTATACCGATTGTCTGTGTGTCGCAAGAATAGAACAGGAACCAAGATATATCGTAGCATGAATAGTCTAATAGTATGTATGTGGGTTCAATCACCCACGCGGAGACCCCAAGCCCAAGTGAAAATAAAACCGTAGAAGATGTGCACGCCGAAATGGACCCGAATACGAAATATGATGGTACCATAGAGAAGCCACCATTTACCAAGATATACCATATACATACCTTTTTCTAATCTTTAAATAATTTTCAAGTTCTATGCTTTCTCCGCACTGACACCATCGTGTACACCTACCCAAAACGGGTCGTCGAGCAGCTCCTCGGCTGAGGCCCGGTTATGGGGGTCGAGTCGGAGACAGCGGTGAAGGAAGGAGGCGGTGGTGCCGAGTTGTTCGGTGTCTAGAATGTTGAAACTTGCAAGGATTTTGGAAACAGTGTGGGAGAGTAGGGGAGGGCGGGATCTGAGTTGGCCTATGTAAATACGAGACAGTGGGAACGACGGTGAATGGTGAGAAGAACATGGAAGGTGATAGAAAGGGAAGACAGAAGAAGGGATGAAGATAACAGGAAGAAGGAACGGGGAATAGGGAGACGGTGGGAAGGGGAAGAAAAAAATAACGAAAATAAGAGAATATGCATTAGCTGAGTCCGGAACTCCTCTATATTTAGGAAAACTTACAGGAAGCATCAAAATACGTGTAGCCCAACTCGCTATTCTTCAATTGTTCAACATCAAATTTCTCATCGGTGAAACATTGCATGCGCCAAAGATGTCCACCTACGGTGTCAAGGAGGTGCTCGGAATAAGAGCGCTTCTTGAACAATTGACGGCCGCAGAGGAATTCAAATGCCTGTGCGGGGGTGGGGTAAGTTTGTGATAGTAGTCTGGAAAACGCCATTGATTTGACAGATAACATACCAAACAACCAAAAGTCCAGATATCGACTTTCTCGTCCCATGGGCCGCGGAGCAACGTTTCCGGTGCTCGAAGGGCCTCGGCCGTGATTTCGTCAAACGTGGGTTTGCCAACGAATTGGGCTAGAACGGTAATCAATGAGAAGTGTGATGGTTTGATAGCCTGAATAAATACGGATCTACGATACTCACCATTTCCAAAGTCTGCAATCACGAAGGTCCGGTCTAAAGCCTCGTTGATGGACGGGATTGGAAGAGGATCTGCAGAACCTAGGTCTGTGTTTCCCCCGTCGAACAGAATGTTATCGTGCTTGAGATCGGTGTGAACGATTCCCTGCTGATGCATCGTCGTGAGTCCCTTCAACGTATGGAACAATATACGTTTGGCGAGACTGAGAGGGAAACCGTTACGGGCGTAGATTCGTTTGAGATGCTCTACATCACCACCAAACACATCTGTAACGAGACATAGATGAGGACCTGTGTCTGCTCGGCCGGGATGAAGAAAGTTGGAATGAAGAGAGAGGCAGTGGCCTTCCTTGGGTTCTGCTCCATGTGGACTAGAGGAAAGTTTTCGGAGGACATCAAGCTCAGGAGTGAGTCCTTCGTGAGCGAGTCGAGTTGCAAAGCCTGTGAGGACCTTGACAGCTACGTGTTTCTTATCCCTGCAGGAAGATTAGCTACCGGAATTGGCGAAGATAAATTTTGCACAGACTGATGGTCTTTTGCCAACCACGTACTGGAATACATCCCCCATCCTAATCGACGGATGACGGAGAACCTGTCATGTTGACCGAGATTATCACCAGATTTTATCCGAGCAAAGCCATAGCCGTCGTCAACGCTAAGGTGCAAAGGTTCATCGAGGGGCTTGAATCCGTTGACGAGCGCTGCGAGGGACTGGCTCGGAGTCCTTGAGAATGAACGTCTAGAAAGAGCGGACGCGCCTGAAAAGGCGCTTGTAGATGAAGAACGGATCATTAACATTTTGAGTGGAGTGAGGAGGGGGAAGCTGGGGGGGAAGCCTGGAAAACTGTATAGCTCAACTAGGCTGCGTTATAAGCACTCTGCTATCCGAAAGTCATGTGAGAATACTCCAACTCGGACGTAATGAAACGGCTTGGAATTTGGCAAAATATTGTGGGTTCTCCAGGTTTCCTTGCTGAATTTTTCGGTTAGGAACCATGACTTCGAATGAAAACTTAGAAATTTTTCAGAAGCATCAAAAAGCTGGGCAGTAGTGGGGATCAGCGAAGAGTAAAAAGAACATGGCTCGGCCCGGCCAGAGCCCGTCACCATTTCTCACAGTCACTGTCAGTCCCGCATCTGCCCGTACTTACCAGAATCAGACCACAGCATCTTCGCCAGAATCCCTCGACTAACTTTAGAATTCTAATCAGTAGCATACATGATGCCCAACGACGTTACATCCGCACTTGTGGGTGGGAACACTCAGCATCAGGTGGACTAAGTATCTCGTCTTGGCCGTTCTTCATGTTGCACAGGGATGGCAACTATCGTTTCGCCTCGCTCTGGTACTCTTATGATGCTGGTCTAACTCTGGAAATCTTGAACCGACTTGTATTATCTATTCCTTCTGGTCTAATCCTTAATAACTCATCGCCATCTTGATACTGACTGACATTGAAGGTGATAGATCGTGTTAAATCGTGTTGCTCAACGATACATCACTAGAAGACATCCCATCTCGATATTATAATCCAGGGGCAGGGGCGCAACTAACTCAAGTGTGCAACCTCTCCTCAAGAACGTAATAAAAAACCGCTCTATCTCGAACTGTCAGCTGTGGCCCGTGGGACGCATTTGTACAGCATGCATATACGCCTCGTACTGAGCTGGCAAGTATCTATGTAACCGCTCTGAACAGCTAAATGAAGATATTTGTCAATTTTAGATCTATGTAACATCATAAAACAACATTACAGCTCGTCGCAATTGAGAACTGATTCCCAATCTCTTCAAGTTGTGCTTCCATACTGCAGTGCACCTACCGCCGACTGTAGCGACATCGGTGATTGGAACGGTTGCGAGCCTCTCGGTAATAGAAATACCGCTACTACACGAGTCATCACGTCGACGGCTGGCCTCACCTTCTTCCCCCTCTCACTTTTCATGTTTCGCTTTCCGTCGCTGTTTCTTCTTTCAACAATCCTTACTGCGCCAGTATCCTCACCGCTCTTGAACTAGAGCACCCCATTCGTTCAGATTCATACTCTTCTAGGCGTTCAACAAGATATCGGAATGGTTGCCGCTTCTTCTAATTTCGATATCGACACTCTTTTCTTTGGTCTTTCCCTTTCTGCGTCAGTTCTAGTATTTATTCCTTTTTATTGGCACTTTAAAAGTGAGCATTTCGTGTTGATGCATTTCGAGTTGGTGCTAGCTGGATGGGTGGGCTCCTGAGTGGTTTTGATATCGGGTGGACAGATGGGTTGACGACAATTTTTAGTTCCTTTCGCCTGAATGCCCCATGCTTCTTCTTCTCCCCCTCTTCTCTCATACTCATGTCTTCTATCTTTCTCCACTCTGCAGCCAGGAACACTGGAACCTGCCTTTTCATGGCTTGGACGGGCTTAGCTTGCCTCGTTCTTTCCATCAACTCTATTCTTTGGAACAACAGTACCTCCAATTTTGCACCACTATGGTGCGATATCTGTGAATATCAATGCTTATCTCTCACCCTTCGAACTTCTAAAGTCTACACTGTAGCTGCAAAATTCTTGGTTGGAGCAAACAGCGCTATATCATCTGTGTCGTTATGCATCAATCTTCGGCTTTGGCTCGTTGCCTCGGATCGAGTGAGAACCCTCGAGGTATATGCCGTTCGCTCCAAGAGTTTGCTCCATATTGCTCATGAAGCCCGCTAGAAAAGGGGTGTAGTTGTCATTGAGTTACTTTTGGGGTTGGGCGTTCCAGTGACAGAGATGATATTCCGTAAGCTGCACTTCTTTAGGTCCTGTAGCTGAAGTATTGATAGAATTGTGATTCGACTTTCAGAGTATTTTGTTCAAGGTGAGTTTTGCAATTTCGCCTAACATAAATATTTCTCGATGGATAATTCTTTAACCTTTGAACAGACCGACGATTTGACATTTACGAAGGCTTTGGTTGTATTGCAGCATCTGATAATGTGCTTATGATGTACCTCCTTCTCTTGGCACCTCAATTTCTCCTTGGCATCGCCTCTACGACTTTTAATGGTGCGCACTCTCGTCTTCGTTACATACGGCCCTAACCAGATTACATTAGTTCTAGCACTCATCGCATACCATCGCATGTACAAATATATGCTAGACACCCAATATTCACCCACGTTTCATCGTCAAACTACACTCTCAGTATCCTTCCTCTGGTTTCTCACCCTTGGAATCATCTCTATCTTATGCAGCATCTCTTATGCCGTCTTTGTCGTCTATTTCAACGCAACTGCCAGCGCGGATGGGTTCGTGTATTGGAAATCGTGGAAGTTGACTCACCTCGATATCAAGGCTGTCAATGTCTACGATGAGAATGAGTGGCGCGGAGACATGATGACGGAATTTTTGCTGGAGGCTAATCGTTGGATTTTCGTCGGGCTGGCATTGTTATTTTTCGTGTTTTTTGGGCTAACGAGCGAGGCGAGGCGGAGGTACAAGATGCTCCTTGGATGTGGAGGAAGGAAGAAGTGGATGTTCGAAGTCGAGAAGACGATGCCAAATGCAGGTGATAGAGGGATCGTGCATTATGCCAACGAAGATATGGAGAGTGCGGAAGGGTACGTCATGGCTCTTGTGGGCGTTGATAAGCATGCTGAATCCAGTCACTAGGTCTATGAGCACACTGGCATCAACATCCAAACGCAGTGCTTCCATCAGCAAACCTCAATTTGTCGACCAGGCGATTGTGAGCGCTCACCCAGAAGACCCATTCAAGCTCGATAACCCCTATCCGAAACATATTTACGACAAAAAAACTGTGATGACTACTGATTGCAGGACAAATAACTCTCTTTCCACTGCTCCCGAACCCAGAACACTGGTCACGCCATCCCTTCCAGCTCACCTGTCGTTTGTTGCGTCCTCCCCTCCCATCAATCACATTGGATCTATTTCCAGCCAAAAGCCAGCCCCTGACTTCACGAATCCCTTTTCTTCGGTAATCTCAAATCCACCATCCGTTCATGTTCCGAATCCGAGTCGCGATCCCTCAGTCTATGTCAAATTTAAGACCGGAAGTGGGGCGCGTCGCGCCTCCTCACCTCAATCATCCTTCTCTTCAACTGATGTTGCTACAGTACGGGGTCGAAGTAATAGTACGGGTTCACATGGCGGTTATACGCGGGGATCTTTTGCTCGCACGCGCTCCTTATCGCGCAGTTTTTGGGCCTCGCCAACGTCACCTCCGACGGGTCCACTTCCCGATCCTCCTCCAGACGTCCCTTCTACGCCTAGCTCCGTCAAGGATCTACAGCCGTACCGTATCGATATGACTAGCCCAAATCACAGCAATAGCGCTTCTCTGGTCCTTCCTGTTGTCTCCATTCCTGGTCCTTCGGCTGTAGCAGTTGATTTTCTCGCACGACAAGGACGTACTCCTTCCCGTAGGCGGCATACGCCAAGCCGTTTGGTCGCGGATATCCTTACGTTCGAAGGAGACTCGGAAGCTTTTTAGAAAAATGATTCGATACGTCGTCTGCACAAAACTGTACTCATACGCTGCAAGAGATATTTTTATTACATTTAGAAGTAGTAGCTTTGAACAAGATCGAAGAAGGACAAGATTAGGTCGCTCAAAGTCAATCGTCACCGTAGCAGCTGCAAGTGCATTCACATGTAACAGCCAATTGTCTACTCACTAGGCCTAAGCCCCAATTCTTTCGGTCTCTCTCATTCGATCACTACAATATTGGTGCGCTACAATGGTACTGATTTGAGCGTAGGAACTGGTTGGTAAATATCCGCAATACTACACAGGTGTGGCACTATGCATATCCTTTTACAGCATGCATCTCGTTATACAACTTCATCCATTCCTCAGGCGGTCTGGAACTCGAAACCGCCTTCACTGATGCTAAATACGCAAATATTCCATTCAGATAACTCAGATCCGTCTGTGAGACCCCAGCACCTCCATGCAACGCCGGGACGTCAGTGAGCAGCTTCTTAAAGACTTCGTCTCTTTCTTCTGCTGTTGGGAACGTAGCCTTCTCACCAAGGTCTTGCATTGTCGGCATATAGCCTAGCGCTGTCCGAGGCGCTGGTACGTGCTCAGCTATTAAACTTTTACCAGACCCTGGGTGGGCGTGGAATCCGTCTGGCCCAATGAAGAGTATCCATTGTTCATCCGCTGTTACTTTGGTATCCGGCTTTGTTATCAATACCCCTTCTTTTGTTTTCCGCATTAATTTAATCGGGAGGTTTCTGTAACGACCGGGGTATGCTCCTGCACAATTTTGATTCAAAGCTGAAATTGTGACAAAAATGACTTACGGTTGTCTCGTTGTTCTAACCCTCCGAAAGATGCGTTGTAGGGAGTTGAAGACAAAGGATAAGACATGGCCCCGATAAAAATAGCGAAGATGACGCAAACAGACAATAAACGACGGGACATTTCGGAAGTAGTGGACGAAGCACAGGGAAGTTGGATTAAGCGCGTCAGTCGAGAGGACTAATTGAGAGTAATAAAGGAACATGAACGTCAGCAAATAAGCGTGCCTAGTGTAGACTTACGCACCACTGAGGAATGAGGTCTGACCGGCAGATCTACACAGTTTACAGCTCGTGCACTCTGAGGCGATTTATTATGAATATGTAACTGTTGTGTAACAGGATTGACATGGTCAGTGATCGTGGCGACGAGACGGAATTCCAATGTATGGTAAAAGGAAGAGTAACATACCGAACCAGCGTCACTGTAGGGAAAAGGGCTGACTGTTCATTACAACTGTTGGGTCTTTATACCGTTTATTCAATGATATCACTGCTCAAAGCCTAGGTATCTATCGGATGTTCATTTACTGCCGCAAACAGTGATATCCGAGTCTATGATATTGGACGTTTGTATTTTCTTGCTCGCCGCCTCGTTATGAGGTCCAGAGTTCCAGAGTTCCCCTGGTCACCTTCAGTCATGCATGTGATGGAAGCACAGGCCTGCTCCCGCTCCTTCCCGCTCCCACTCTGTTTGCTTCCATCCACCGCCACCACGTAGTGCTTAACTTCATCTCCCCAACATCTCCCGCTCCTGAAGACTCGAAATTCACCTAAGCTTCCCTCCACTAGTGCAATCAACCGACACTATGTGTATCAGCGCGAAATCTCTACCCCCTTTCCAGGCTGACATTTCTACTCAAAGCCTGAGGCCTGGATGTGCTGAGCTTTCTGTTTCATGATGTCTTGTGTTAAGACTCAACTTGAAGTTTTGATTTCCAGCAGCATCAAGGGACAACGAGGGATCTGACTCGGGGCTAACAATCAGTTATAATTCAATACTCTACCGGTGCTCTACCGAGACCTGACCAGGACCTACGACATACTTACCGGGACCTATTACCCTTCATTCAAGTTGATGGTAGGTTGACGGTGAGCTACGGCCGGGTCAGTTTCATTGCTGGGCAAAAATCAAAATCAAAATCCAAATCCTATCCTTTGAATACTTCCGGTATGTCCCCTCTTGGTCCCCTCCACCCTACATAGAAAATTTTTTTGCTATAAATAGATTAGATGTATTGAAAGCATCGACCGATATGCAACAAATGTCAGGAAACAAGTTTCAAACGACTTGAATGCACCCGGGCCCAAATAGTTTACTGGACATAAGCGAAGGATGGTATGTATAGTATAAAAATGGACCATATAAAGATCGAACGAGCGGAAGTGAATGAGGTAGATCTTCCTACCTGCTCACAGGTCAAGCAACCGAGTAACGCAGGTTCGGTATGTCGCCTTTCTATTTGCAACACGGTACTCAATCTTGAGCTACCATTGTTTGTCAACTCGATGACTGACCATGCTGCAGTTACTCATAACTTGAACACCCTTGGGATCATCAGCTCCTGAGACATACATTCGCTTGGATCTGCAGGCCAGACCTATATTGTTCACTATCACTCAGAGTCACGTTCAACTCTCTGTATGGTTCACTTCCCATCTCAAGCGTCACGTCTGTTCGTCGTGTGGCTCATCTTTGCCACCTTCCTTGGAGTGCATTCCTCTCCCTTGACCGTGACCCCCCAGAAAAACTCTGTCAGAGAACTGGAACAACGAGATGATCGTAGGTTCTTCTAGTAAAATTTCCCGCACCATAAACCAAATCTTTCTAGGTCGTTTTAAAAACCTTCCGATCAGACTTCTGCGGAAAAGCAAAACTGGGTCGATAATAACCAACCCAGACACTACTAGAGTAGAGAGTGACGAAGACTGGGCCATCTTCATTGGCACAGATGGATTTCAGGCTCACCCAGGGCCAGCTGGCACTCTGACAGCCATACGAGTACCAGAACCTAGGACAAATGGGGGAACACTAATAAAGCTGCAAGACCTCCATGAGAAGGCCTCGTTCACCTCCTCAGCCGAGAAAGCCAAAGTGTTTCAAGGTCTACTCACAGATGTTCCTGCACTGCACAAAGGCAACAATGTTCCGAAAACTAATCTGGCGTATCTGAATGGGGTGTTTGCATATTTGGCATCTGTAAAGGCGGTTTCGGCTCCGCAACCTCCTGAGGCTTGGGTGACGATCTATAATGAGATGCACGATGCGAAAGGTGATGCATCTTGACCAAGTCCTGAGTATTCTGTATGCATGTAGGTCTGTGTACGTGGTGTAAGTTCAATGTACACTGGGGATATACAAAATACCTGTCTCAATGAAAATGAGGAACATTTGAATCAGGCACATTTCACCCCGGTGCCGTGTATCAATCTATCTATCCCTTTGACGATTTCTGTGTATGACTGGTGTATGATGAAAGTTGTCCAATAAAATCTGATTGGTTTAACAAACTTAAAATTTGTTAAGTTTGCTCGATGATCGGTGGGCGTGATTGGATCCAAGAAGATAATGAGGACCAGAACATCCTTCCTGCGGCGAATGCGAAGGTCAGACTTGCTTGAAGCACGAACATCACAGTTACATCTCTCTTGAGCCAATGTGTTTGAGGGAGGTCATTGAATCGCCACCCTGAAGTCTTTCTTCCCAAGCACTGATCTATGGATGAAATATGGTAGCTGTTACAGGGAGAATAGAATGGTTGAAGGAATCTGCGCTATCGTACTTGCATTTGCGAAGCTTTGTGAATGCCACATGTTGCCACTCCGGTACCATTAGTAAACCCGTCCAGAATCCCTTCCAAACTCCTCAGAACGCTACTGGCAAGGCCCAAGAAATTTCTTTTGCAAGATTGTTGGGTGTACGCCTTCATGCCACCTTGGTCTTCAGTTAGTGAGCACTCACTAAGACTTGAAAGTTTGCACATAGATTCGCTCGATTGATGTGCAGACGCCTGCTATCCCAAATGTGCTCACTCCGCACTGAATTATCTGCATCGGTCGCGGCCCTTGAGCTTTATGTCTTGCTTGTTTTTTTGTTACGCCCTAAGTATCTAGCTTGGTAGGTATAGTAAAGTTTACGGCCGTGCAGGGAAAATTTCCCACAAAACTCCCAAAATTAGTGATCAGAAATCAACAAATGAACCCTATTAGTATGTACAAAGCAATTCGATAAGTAATCTGAAGTGCAAGTCTGCAACGGCCAGGCGGGGATACGGAATGCTTCATCCGCTCAAGTTTGCAAGAACAACGAGTATGCACACTGTCACGAAGCGGCAGAGGCGGAGTGACTAACGGAGCGGGAAAGCGGAGCGACTAAGCGGAACGGTGAGGCGGAGCAACTGGACAAGGCAACAAGGCGGAGCGACTAAGCAGAACGGCGGCAGGCTGGTCCCAGATAATGACAGAGATATATTGAGTATCGTAGTCATAGGTAATAATAAGTAAGCACATACCTGGTCCCAGATAATGACAGAGAGGTCAAGATAAGGGACCAGGCTGTGGAGGGTTGGCTATATATACATAATCCGGTCTGCGAGAAACAACGATGTAATACTGTACAGTTTAGGAACAAGGAAGGTGGCGGAAGCCAATAGAAGGAGAAGATGGGTCAGGTGGATCAGTAATCGATGGATCAGTAATCGATGGGGGTTTGACAGTGATGGGATGATGTATCGTACAAGTAAAGGCGTCGAGACGGTGAGAAAAGGAAAATGATAGGGGCTGCGTACTTTATGACATTACCCCCCTCCTTATGACCATTGCCCTCGATGGTCAAGGCTTTGCCGCTGTTGGGTGTTTTTTATGAAAGGCCCGAACAATTTTTGGTGCTCGACTGAGGTTGGCTGCGGGTTCCCAAGAGTTGTGCCCTGCGTCGTAACCTTTCCACTTAACCAAATATTCCAACTTCTTCCATCGAACCCGGCTGTCTAAGATCTCCTCTACTTCGTATTCCGGTTCGTCTTCATCCTCTAAGTATACCGGCTCTGGTGGTGTTGGTATTTCGCCATTAATGGAGTTACCTTTCCAGGGGTATAGTTTATCAACATGGAAGACGGGATGGAGGCGATCTAGGGATAGGGGAAGGTCAAGGCGGTAGTCTAAAGGGCCAATTTTCTCCAGAATGCGATAAGGGCCAAGCTGTCGATCTCCTAACTTTTCACTGGAAAGCTGAAGGTTAATGTCTTCTGCACTGAGCCAGACTAGGTCTCCAACTTTAAATTGATGAGCTTTCCGCTTCCCGCGTTCGTATCCCTCCTTCTGTTGTTTCTTTCCTAGGTGTAAGGCAGCTCCGGCATCTTGTCGCGCTTCTCGGAGGATCCGTATACGGTCATCCACGGCTGGAATACCGCTGCGTTGGCCCACTGGGATATTGAACAGGGGAAGATAGCCGTAGGTTAGCTCGAACGGGGACATGCCTAGCGCAGAATGAGTCCGTGAGTTAATCACAAACTCCGCCATGGGAAGGTGCTCTGCCCAGTCGTCTTGTCGTCGTCCTACATAGAGGCGGATGTATTTCTCTACTTCCTGATTTGCTCGTTCGGTTTGGCCATTGGACTGAGGACGGTATCCGGAGGTTAGATCTGATTTAATTCCTAGCCTAGCAAGAAGGGATCGCATGAGTTTAGCTGCAAACTGGGGTCCGCGGTCGGATTTAAAATGAAGAGGAAGACCATGGAGACGGAAGATCTCTCGGTAGTAAATATCGGCAACGCCTTCGGCTGTGATGGAGCTGGTGCAAGGAATGGCGTGAATTTGTTTTCCATACAAGTCTGTGCAAACCAAGACAGCATCGTAGCCTTGGGAGTTAGGTAGCTGTGTTATCAGGTCAACCCCTACCTCTTCCCATAGACCGGATGGTACATCTAATGGTTGAGTTACGGCCCGTGGGTGTCGCTGGATCTTCTTACGGGCACAAACCTCGCATCCCTCAACGTATTTTTCCACAAAAGAGCGCAACGTAGGCCACCAGAAATGGGTACTGACCAAGTCAAGTGTCCCGTGTAGTCCGGGGTGTCCTGCAGTTGGATGGTCGTGGCATTGACGGAGTACCTCAGTGCGTAGGTCGTCGTTTGCTGGTACGTATACTCGACCTCGGTAGTAGACCAACCCATTGTCTTCTTCCCATTCGGCTATCCCATTGGCCAAGCGCTGTAGTCCGTGCTCTTTGACTGTTTTGAGACCCTCCAATACCTGTGCCTCCCGTTCTGAGGCTTTCCGGATACGATCCTCTAAGGGGTTCTGTAGGATCGAAGCTGCAATTTTTACGAAGTGGCCAGGTTTAAGGACTGTCTGTTGTCGGTTATCATCGCTGTCCGATACATGATGAACTGCCATGCGGGAGAGAGCATCAGCTTGGGTGTTTACTCTGCCAGGGCGGTGGATCATATGAAAGTCAAACCGTGACAGATAGAGGGCCCATCGGGCTTGTCGGCGGGTGAGGTCTTGTGCAGTGCGCCAGAATTCGAGGTTCGAATGGTCCGTAATGATGTCGAATGGTTGAGGGAGTCCTTCTAGAAAGTTCCTCCAATCCTTCAGTGCTTCAATGATAGCAAGCATTTCTCGATCGTAGATTTCGTAGTTCCGTTCCGCTGGCTGCATGGATGCCGATCTGAAGGCTACCGGATGCCATTGGCCATCGTCTTGCTTCTGCATAAGGGCGCCTCCCGTGGCAAAGCCTGATGCGTCTACCTCGATTCGAGTAGGCCTATCTGGTGTCCATAGAGCAAGGATCGGTGCGGAGATGAAGGCTTCTCGAAGGGTATCAAATGCTTTCTGTCGAGTGTCGGTCCAGGTAAAGCTGGTGTCTTTCTTCGTCAGGTCGTTCAGAGGCCGTGCTATTTTGGCAAAATTCCGGATAAAGCGTCGGTAGAAGTTTGCAAATCCCAAGAACCCTCGTAGTTCCCGAAGGTTAGTAGGGACTGGCCAGTCACGAACAGCCGCTACTTTTACCGGATCCATTCTCACCTCCCCTTCTGAGATGATGAGTCCGAGGTATTCAATCTGTTGTTGTTCAAATTCGCATTTTTCGGGTCGTAGGTAGAGGTCGTGCTTTTCTAACCGAGTTAATACTTCCCGTACCATTCGTCGGTGTTCCTCGAGATCGTTACTGAAGATAAGGATGTCATCTAGGTAGACTGCCACCTTGCCGGCTGCAATGAGATCAGCAAATATAGCATTCATAAGTGCTTGGAACGTGGCGGGGGAATTTGTGAGACCAAAGAACATGACCTTAGGCTCAAACAAGCCTCGGGTTGTTGCGAACGCGCCTTTCCATTCATGCCCCTTCTTAATCCGTATGTTATTGTAACCCCAGCGGACATCAAACTTCGTGAAGTATCTGGCTCCCTGAAGTCGGCTAATGATGTCAGCAACTAATGGGAGAGGGTATCGGTTCTTCACAGTGTACTCGTTCAGTTTCCGGTAGTCTTGTACAAAACGGAGTTTCCCATCCTTCTTCTTTATGAAGAAGACCGGTGATGAGATTGGTGATTTTGAGGGGACGATATAGCCTTTCCGTAGGTTTTCTTCTAGGAAACGATCCAACTCCTCCTGCTCATTTAGGGACATGGGATAAATCTTGGTACGCATGGTTGCCGGTGCTCCAGGTACGAGATCAATCGCATGGTCCCAAGGTTGGTGGGCAGGTAATCGTTCGGAGGCGGATTCTGAGAAAACCTTCTTGAAATCACGATACTGCTCAGGGACCATTTCTTCGAAGGTTTTAACAGGTTTGTCTCGGTTGGCTTCCTCTGCTAGCTGCTGGGAGTAAGTGAATCCTGCGGCGCACCAGACTTCCTCCGTCTGTTCCTCTAGAATTCCTGCTTTTACCCATGCCCGGCGAGTTTTATGATTGGCTCGAATTCGGTGTATTGGTGGTTCTTCCACCGCTGCTGATTCACTCGGTTCCAGGGTTGCTTCTAGTGGCACCTCAATGTGGGGGTTTTCTGCGGGAGGTTCCAGTTCCGGGAGTTCGAGGATCGGGGTTTCTGTGTGAGTGGCAGCTAGATGAGAGTACAAGATCTCCTCGTCTGGGACTTCTTCTATCGTTACTCGAGGAGGCTTTACTGAAAGTCGTCCTTTCTCCCAATCAATCTCCGGATTTACCTTCCGTAGCCAGGGGAGTCCAAGGATGATGTCTTCACCTCCTAGGTTGGTGATCAGAAAGTCCATCCATCGCTCTTGATTATCCACTGTGAGTGCTAGACGTGCAAAATGGGTTATCCGTCCAGCTCGGTTAGGTGTTCCATCGATATTAAAAACGTCGATTGGTTTATGGAGGGGTGCACATCTTACATGGTTCCGGGTGACAAAGTCTTGGTTTAAAAACAGGGCGGTAGCTCCACAGTCTACCATGGCTGCAGTTGTTATACTGTGATTCCTTCCTCTTAGTCTCGCATGAATTCGGAAATGTGGGGAAGTAGAGTTTAATTCCCGGATCGACGATATTGTACATGATGGGTGCGAGTCATACGAGGAAGTAGCGAACATAACAAACTGATTACGGGGTACTCTCGGTGCAGCCGAAGCGGGTACCCTCTTTAAAAACCCTGTTGAAAGCCAGAGGACGAGGAGGACATAGCATTAGCACGATCAAGTAATTCCCTTATTTGACCAATCTGATTGGAAAAGTCCTGGTTAGGGGGGCTCGGAGTAGCAGCTATGGGTGCAGGAGCAGATGTTGGGGTCGAGGACGCGATTTGGACGGATTCGTTTGGGAATAGGGAGAATGGCGCGGGTCCCGTAGCGGATATCTGTTGGCGTCGAGGTTGCTGGCGTCGGCCTCGGTCTCGTCCGAGTCCCATGAATTTGTCTTGGCAGACTGCTTCCAGATGTCCTCGACGTCCACAGTAGCGGCAGGTGGTTTCTCGGTGTGGGCAGTTTTGCTTGACATGACCTTGGGCACCGCAGCCGAAGCATCGTCCTCGCATGCGAGCTAGGAATGCTTCCCTAGTATTCCCATTACTGGTGTGGGTTGCATCAATGTCCATAGCGTGGGGGTCAGCAGGGGTAGTATGAGCGGTATGCGTGGGAGGGTATCCAGAGTTCCGGCCAGTCATGGTGGGATCGTGCAGGTAGACATCCACCGATATGGCCCGTTTGATTGCCTCCTTCAGAGTCGGAGCAATTCCTTGGGCAATGTTTACGGTGATGAGGTGTTGTCGGATCTCTGGGAGTAATGCAGTGAAGAAACGTTCCCGCAAGTCGATATCAGACATTTCAGTCCGATCTCCGATATCCTTGAACTTCTGAGCGAATTCCGCAACTGTCTGTCCTTTACTTTGCCTAAGATTCTTGATCTCGCTACGGGCTTCCATACCTGGGTCCATTGGTTCAAACCGTTGGCTAAATTCCTTCAGAAACGCCTCCCAATTTCCTCCGAAAGGGGGATTTTCCGCATTGAAATGTAGCAGATGGGGAGTTGCCCAATCTCCGGCACTTTCTGTGAAGAAGCCCAAGGCGGACTTGATGAGTTTTACTTGGCTTTTGGCGAGATCCGGTTGTTCTGACGCCCAATTCTGGAACTGAGCCATGAAGCGACGGGCTTCAGCGCCATCTTTACCCTTGAAAACCTCGGGTTTGTTCATGCTTGACTTAGAGGATGAGCGTTCCTCCATAGCTGTAGCAAGGTTAGCTACTTGTCTGATGAGCTGAGCCATGAGATCCTCCGCAGAGGTGTTTGGGGCAGGCGGGATAGGAGTCGACATGATGGGAGTAGGCAATCGGGGCTGGGGAATTGGCAGGAAGGTTATATTGCTCACAGTGAGTGGCTCTCGGATTGAGTTCGAAAGGGCGTTGGGGCAAGGTTGAGACTGGCAATCGCGCCAAGTATCGTCGTTGTTATGGGCGTGAGCTTGGTCTCTGGGGTCAAGTGCATGCGGGAGTGCGGAGCAGTCTATACTGGCAGCAGGTGTTTCAGAGTCGGGCGGAACTGGGGAAGACGTGGTGTCTATAGACCCTGCAAGGACAACCTTATCGGTAGGCTGTCAGTGCAGTAATGGATCTTGACCTAATGTCACGAAGCGGCAGAGGCGGAGTGACTAACGGAGCGGGAAAGCGGAGCGACTAAGCGGAACGGTGAGGCGGAGCAACTGGACAAGGCAACAAGGCGGAGCGACTAAGCAGAACGGCGGCAGGCTGGTCCCAGATAATGACAGAGATATATTGAGTATCGTAGTCATAGGTAATAATAAGTAAGCACATACCTGGTCCCAGATAATGACAGAGAGGTCAAGATAAGGGACCAGGCTGTGGAGGGTTGGCTATATATACATAATCCGGTCTGCGAGAAACAACGATGTAATACTGTACAGTTTAGGAACAAGGAAGGTGGCGGAAGCCAATAGAAGGAGAAGATGGGTCAGGTGGATCAGTAATCGATGGATCAGTAATCGATGGGGGTTTGACAGTGATGGGATGATGTATCGTACAAGTAAAGGCGTCGAGACGGTGAGAAAAGGAAAATGATAGGGGCTGCGTACTTTATGACACACACCAGATGGCCGAATTGGTTATGACAATGGCCCATGAAGGCGACGTATTCGAGTAATATTGTCACTGAAACTGCTATTCATCGTCCTTCAATCACTCATCTCATTATACAAACTTGGACAAAATGGACAAAATGTCTGACTCTAAAGGAACTGTTCTCGTACGTGCCTCCTTTCTGTATGATTTGGTATCAAGCTGACAGTCACGTTGGATTCAAAGGTTACTGATGGAACTGGCTTTCTTGGGCCGGGAACATCTCATTTCTCAGCTCCTCAAGAAAGGCTACACCGTTCGCGCTACCGCTCGTTCGACTGCGAAGCTCCAGGCTATTTTCCCTCAAGCCACTACGGTGCAGCTTGAAACACTGGAAGTACCAAGAGTCTGACTTCAGATCACACAGCAGCGTTGAAAGACGCTGAAGCCTCAATACACTCTGCTTCGCCTGTTTATGGTGAAAGAATTACCGGATAGGATCTTTATTCCGTGAGTTCGTCCACTATCATCTTCGGATGTCATAACCATTGTTTAGTATTACTCGCCGTCCTGATGTTTTACCTCAACAGGGAGCTTACGAAGGCACCGTCGCAGTAGTAAAGCAATCCATCGCTGCAGGTGTGAGTGGGACATTCGTAAACCTCTTTGACGGTAGGCCACCCACATTACCCCCAACGACGAAACTTATCACCCTCTCTAGCTGATGCCCAAGCTGCCTTCGGTACTCGCGTTCTCATTGAGAAAGACCTCGGTTCCATCACTCCGTAAACTATCGAACGACGGAATGCGGGTCTACCAAGAATCCCAAACCCTTGCTGATAAAGCTATAAGGGATATATCCTGCTGTCACTTTGACGTGGACTTCACCGTCGTTCTACCTCCTGCAATCTTCGGTCCCCAACTCAGCTCTCTCACATTCTCCCTTAGCAGTCTCGGCACAAACGGATTCGTCAAGATGCTCAGCGCTCCTGAGCTCTCCGATCCCTATCGGGCATATGATTGACGTCCGGGATGCCGCTCGAGCGCATTGTCCTCGTGCTTTTGACTCCCCCGGTTCCCGGGCGCGACAAGAGGTTCAACATCGGCAATGGGACGCTAAAATGGAAAGACGTCACGGAGTTGATGTTGATCAGTAGGAAGAAACCGGAGTTGGCCAAGAGATTGCCTAAAGAGAGTTCACTTCCTGGCCCAGACTAGGGCACCATTGGATATCACATTCGCAAAAGAGGGTTTGAAGAGTTATATTCCGTAGGAAGAGACATTCCTTGCCACTGTTGATGTTATACTGGAGTGGGAGAGAAAAATTGGAAACTAGGCATCGTCCGTACATAGATAAATCCAGGCGTACACTCTCGAAACGCTGAAGTTGACACAACAAAATCAACAAGAAAAATATATTTTGTGGAGTGGGAAGTCAATTACGAGGCTGTAGTTTACGGAAGTATCGTCCTTATATACGCCGCTGCATACAATTTTGATTTCCTTTTATGGTAGTAGTTTCACCTTATTTGGCCAAATGTAACACTGAGTTGAATTGTATTGATTTCTTGTGACCGGCACGGGATATCACGGGACTGTCACCCTCTGTCACAATTACTTTTTCTCGTCTCATTCGGTTATTCCCTGTTACTCCATATGTAGATAAGTAAATTTACTTTTATTCTGCTTTTCTCAAAGAATCAATGTCGGCGCCTGAAAGGCGCCCCCGTTTTTTTGATTCCATAATATTTAATTGATATTTAATAACCCACAAGGAAGGAGCCGAGTTTTTGCCATGCACGGTAGTGCAGTGGCCTACAATCGCATGTACAACGAGCAATTGCTGCAGACTTGGATGTTACACTAGCACTGTACTAGCACAAGGTTCACGGTAAACCGATGGCTGGAACCAGACCTCACCGCCGGTATGATGCCTATACTATCCTGATCCGAGAGAAGGCAGCAGAGTCTCAGATGGCGATGAGAGCGGCGCTTAACGCCTTTGAACTTCGCTGAGGCTCTCATCTCTGTAAAAGTCTGTAAATCGTTCAGGCTCGTTTTGTGAACCCACCCTTACCTACGTCACTCTACAGCTCTACTGTGCAGTCTTTGGACAATGACACTCTAAGGCTCAGCCAACCCGCTTTTCGTGTGATCTCCCACCCAGCGGGGCTGTGCCCCGGACAAAACTAACATAGAGCACTTAACAGTGCTTTACATTCTCCACAGTTGAGCGAATACTTATCTTATCAGTATCTTGGAGGTCTATGCACGTGATCGCGATCCTTTTGCTTCTGTTCCATGGCACTAGTATGGTATTATCAGCTTTTTGATCAGCAGTTGCACAAGATCCCAGAAGCTGATAGGAACTCAAGTTGGTCTCATCCTTCGGCACACAGCTCATCCAGAACTTCATGATCAGTTTGCTCCGTGTGCAACTTCGGCTCTTCGCGCACACATCGTGGTACAGCAACGGCAGAAGAAAGGTATTTGGACCTATCGATTCCGAAGGCAAAGTCCTGGTACGAGGCACCTCGGACTCCCGAATACACAGGACCGTCTCATCTTTCTCTGTCGTACGGGAGGAAATATACACCGTTCCTTGTCTCTACACTAGCAATGAACCTCCCAGGCAACATCAGCCATACTGTCAAAACAACCGCTACATTGTCACTAAAACATGCTGCCACCGATTGGTCCTCCATTCAAACATTCAATATCCAGCCACAGTCCAGCCAGCACATCCTAGCACATCAAAACTAGCCTCGAATAGCTGCTCAATTGATACAATGGTGATTGCCCCGAGTTAAGGGGTAACACCCAAGAACACTCATATAAAGCAGACGACTTCGGGCCTCTTCTCTTGATACTGACCTGACTTGTACCTCATACAACCAAGATGCTTTCCAGGAAGCTTCGACTCGTTGGATCATTCCTTCTCTTCCTCAGTGCTGCCACTGTTGTACCTGTTGTTCACGGCGCAGCTGTTAGCACGGGTGACCAGGTTTTATCTCGAGAGACCGCTCCTCATGGCGGTATTGCAACAGAGGCTGGTGCGTTGGAATTTTCACAATCTTGAGGATACCTGGCATCTCATTCGTTCATCATGCCCCGTAGCACCTTGCACGGAAATCGGAATCAACATTCTCAAGCAAGGAGGGAATGCAGCTGATGCGGTTTGTTTTTCCGGTGTTTCTATCTATAGAAAGATCATCTCCGTATGGCTGACAGCGTTTTTCGGCATGTAGATCATCGCGTCAGGTCTCTGTGTGGGAGTGATATCTGCTTACCATTCGGTACGCTCTGGCCGCGTCAATGTTAAAACGTTTCATCCATTCATCCTGCTTTGCTTGTCTCCTTGCAGGGGATCGGCGGAGGCGGATTCATGCTCGTCCGCTTCAACAATGATGATGGCAGTCACGACTACGAGATGATCGATTTCAGAGAAACGATGCCTGCTGCGGGGAACGAATACATGTATGTCAACAATTCCGACCCGGACGCTTCGTTTTTGGGCGGTCTTTCAGTCGGTGTTCCGGGGGATTTGCGTGGCTGGGAGACACTCCATCAGCGGTAAGTAACAAGACCGGTAACAAGGCACAAGTTTGAAGGTACCATTTATATCATTAATGTCTATCTGTCGACTAGACACGGGTCCCTGCCTTGGGAAGATCTTTTCGTACCAGCCATAAACCTCGCTCAAAATGGATTCGAAGTCAACATTGACCTTGCTTCTGCTTTGCAAGGATTGGACTTCATTACGCAGGATGCTATCTGGGCCGAAACATATGCTCCCAATGGTACTGTTCTTGTCGAAGGGGATATTTGCTATCGCAAGGTTAGAATGACGTCCTCACTTTTCTTATACCGTTGTACCAATGACAGCTGAACGCTAGAGATATGCCAAAACTCTGGAGAAGATTGCCCAACATGGTGCCGACGTCTTCTATACGGGTGACATTGCCATTAACACTGCTTCAACTGTATATCAAAGTAACGGGATTATGACCACGGACGATTTGGCTGGTTATACAGCGATTGTTCGTCAGCCTCGGAATATCACGTACCGCAATACCAGGATTTTTTCCACCGTAGCCCCGTCTAGTGGGACTGTGGTGCTTAGCGCGCTCAAAATATTCGAGGGTTTCGATGGGAATGTTTCAGACAGGTACATCGGTGTTCCAATTCCCAGCTCTTCTTCAATACTTCATTTGTTCTAACGCGCATACTTATTCATCTGTCTATTCATAGCGACCCCTCCATCAATCTAACTACTCATCGACTAGTTGAAGCCACCCGCTTCGCATATGGACAGAGAACTGAATACGGTGACCCGGCTTTCACCCCGAACGTCACTGAGCTTGAAGCGTACTTTCTCACTGAGGCTGTGGTAAATGAAACTCGGAGCAAGATTATGGATAACCAGACGTTCCCTGTGACTTATTATAATCCAGAAAACTACCAAGTTCTCATTGACAATGGCACTTCACATATGGCAGTCATTGATAAAGATGGGATGGCGATATCTTTGACGACTACTGTGTAAGATTTCTTTGTTCGTCAGTAGCAGCAGGGACTCACTTCCATGAACTCGATTGCATTCTGGAATAGTAACAACTTCTGGGGCTCATATCTAATGACTTCGGATGGAGTCATTCTCAACGACGAGATGGGTGACTTTTCTTCCCCGGGAGAGATCAATGATTTCGGTTTCAGTGCTTCGCCGGCGAACTATATCGTGTGTATCATTTTGTTTTTCGATATATCCTTTTCCCTCATCTGTATATACAATTTCAGGCTGGCGGAAAACGGCCACAGTCATCAATTGCTTCCTCGATCGCAGAGGATTTGGAGACGGGCGATATCATCATTGCGACAGGAAGTGCAGGTGGCAGTCGAAGTGCGTCGTTCCGCTACACGATCTCCGACCTCTTTTTGAAGTTCACTCGTCGTTCTATCAATAGTTATTACCGCCACTCTCCAGCACCTCTACCATCATATAGATCAAGGTCTCAACTCTACACTATGTGTCCATCATTCTCGCTGGCACGACCAGCTTGATGGTAACACGTATTTCGAGTATGCGTCGGAAAACGTTGGGATTGCGGGTTATGATAATGGTACAGTGGCGTACTTTAGAGATATGGGTTATAATATCTCCTATCAGAGTACGACGGGGTCTACGGCGCATGGTATGTGTTTTTTTCTCATCATCTTTTCTCCGATGTTTACCTGCTGTCTAAATATTAATGATTCTTCCCTCTGTTATAGTTGTTATCCGCCAACCAAATGGTACGATTGAAGCAGCGAATGATCCTCGAAAAGCAGCTGGTGCTGGTTTGGCATACTAGGTTATCGGTAAGGTTATGCTCACTGGCCTTGATATGATAAGTTTGCTGGACCAATTCAATGACGGGGGTTTAAGACTGACATTCGTGGAGGAGATATCATGCTCAGAAAAAAAGTATAAAGTACCATTGTGGTCTACATGTAAAGAAGATAATGAACGGATAATTGTTGTCTCCACTTGCCATATCATAAATAGCAAATCCTCGTGGGCGAGCGACAGACAAATTTACGTTGAATATTTTCTGCTCTTCAAGTTCTAATCCATGCATGAAACAAAAGAAACGGGGGCAAATACTTACTTAAATCCACCAACAAATACAAATACAAAAAAAATAAGCTTTGAAAAGCATATGTTTCGACCCATGCTTGAATTGAGGACCTTGTTCTGTGCCACCGCGGGTGGAAGCCCAAAAAGGCAAACCTGTCCAAATTCCCTACCTTGCCTAATTGAGCGTCCACCAACCGTGCTACTCATCAACAGGTGTGAGACAGATGCGACAACCACCATGCATTACTGACCTTTCTTCATTGTTTGTACATTATTTTGCCTCACCAGGGTTGCTACTGCACATCATTGAAGACATAGCAAATGTGATGCTGTTTTGGCAAACACATTAGCCTGCAGCATCACAAGCAAGACGTGTGTGTTTCCCCAATGGGGGCAATTAATGCTATGGGAATCATAGCATTTCGCTACAAACCCTGCAAAAAGATTAGACCAGACAAAACATTCAACACGAGCAACTGAAACACAGTGGTATACAATGTATGGTAACATGATTCATTCCCTGCCTTCCCCTTCCCCTTCTTCCCCAGCCATATTGACAATTCAGCCTAGACCCTCAACCCACTTACTGATCAACATACCCCTGATCAACCCAGGATGTCCAACTACTCCCCAAAACAGCCGCAGCGGTATACCCAGCATTCGACGTCAGTTTCGTCGCGAAAGAGGCACGGGTTCCAACGGAGCCGGCGCCTATTGAGAGATAGGGAAGAGTATAGGGTCAGCCGGCGAATACAGACAAAATTAACACCAGGAAAGAAGGTACCTACCACCATTGTCATATTCCGCAAATGTAACATCCTCTGTGTTCGGTTCGGAGGTGGACCATATTTCCCAGCCGGCACTGTTGATGACGGAGCCGAGGGTACAGGAGGTGAAGGCAACGCTGTGTGTTTGAATCGGACAGACAGCGGAAGGGGTGGGGGAGGAGGGGGGGAGGGGGAGGAAGAGAAGGAATAAGAAAGAGGAAGAAAAAGGAAAGACTGGAAACAAAACATACGTAGCATATTCAGTCCACGGTCTCCCCAAATAAACCAGCCCGGTCAAATCTTCAGTCGCAGCAGCGCTTTGTTCGATTGTCGATTCATTGATGACGACTATTCATTCGGAGAACGTAAGAGGGAACGAAGGAGAGAGAGAAACTTGTCAGTTCTCTCTGCTAGCCCTTTCATCAAACACCACAAGAGAAAAACTCACAAAGCCCATCTCCTTTTTCACTCGGTCCGTCAGCAGTAATCGTTCCAGGACCAACGGACGCAATGGTGCTTCTCTGGAAGAACGCGAACCCGTGTTGACCAAAGATGAAGTCTACCGCGCCTTCGATGTAGCAATAACCGTAGTATTGGGCACCCTGTTCGGCTAAAACGGTGTCTTGATAGCTGGGTGGGGGTGCGAGGTTAACGGGGTGCGAGAAAGTGAGGTTAAAGTTATAGCTAGTATCACGATCTTACCTGTAAAATCCCACACCGTAATACCCATGGTTCGTTCCATACGCGCTAAGCGCAAGTGCCTGTGAACCTTGTCCGAACTAGAAACCCAGGCAAAAAAAACAAAACAAAAACGAACACGGGGTCAGAGATCAGTTCGACTGAAAGAAAATTATGTACTGTTCAAGTATTCTATAGATCCAAGCCAGTATAGACACAGAACACGATCCAAGTAGTGTATGGTAAACACAGTAATAGATCCTCCCAAAAAAAGAACTTGACAGAATGAGTAAGTAGATCACTCACAGTATTCTTCACGTTGATATTATATAGCGCGAAATCATCTTTATGTACCCTCAAGGTTCCGCTCGCGTCGTCCGATCCGGCAGCGGTGGCTGAGAGCGAGTTAGTGATAGTGACGACGTTGGAGGCGTAGTTGGCGGTGTTGGCGGTTTCGCCGAGGATCTTCAGAAGGCAGCGAAGGGTAAATTCAAGTTGGAGTGGCATGTAACATGAACAGGGTTTTGGTTCGGTGTTATGTATGTAGATGTAGATGTAGATAGATAATTCGATGGGGTGGTAATGGAAAGGTTTATGATACAAGCAAAGGAAAAGGGAAAAAGAATACAGTCAGTCGATGATCTGGAGTTTGAGAGAGTCAGAGTGGTTTAGATTGGTGAACATACCGTCAACATTCCGCTCCTGTCAATATACACTTGTTCGTCGTATGTTCCTAAGTTTGAAAATAGTGTCAGTATTCGTTATGTCAATTGAGATTGTGCTGGAGTATCATGGTAAAACAATCATGAAAGAGTCAAAGAGATGTAGAGTCAATAGTTATAGATGAAAAGTAATTTTTCTGATGCGTGGAGAACACGACCACGACACTGCAAGACATGAACAAAAAAACCATATTGAAGAAAAGGGGAAAGAAAAACAAAACAATGACATATGCACACACACCCGTCTCGATGAAAATAACCTGCGTCGATCCATCATCCGGAAGCGCGTCCACCGCCGCCTGTACAGTGCTATACTGCCCACTTGCAGGGGATTTACTTACAACGAGGGCCCCAGCGGGAGCCGTAGTACGTGCAGTGCGTTTGCTCAGTTGCGAACTTGACGTCGACAACGGAAGGTCGATGGGCTTCGCGTTGACTCCAAAGACAGAATAGGAATAGGTGGTGATGATGGGGAAGTACACGAAGAGTAAGGAGAGGAGAGAGATTCGGCGTAGGGACGAGCCGCGGGAAGAAGCCATATCGACGAGCTAGTATTGACGAGGTTAAGTTGACGGAGGGGATTTCAACGGTTCTGGATCAACTGCTTTCTTTAATAGTTCTATCTACCTCGTAAGTTCTTCTTCCGAGAATAACACAGACAATGTGCTGCATGACGTGTGGTTCCCGACTCGTGTTCTCGGATTGCTTGGGGCCATAAAATGCATAATGACCAGAACGTATCCGAATATTACTCCGGTTGCTTCGTATGGTATGCACCTCATGAACCCTTTGCTGTATGGACAATTTGTCTACATAAACACTCGGCGTTATTAGTCCCTTGAAAAACGGTCCGGGCGGAGCCCTGCGGAGCCTCAGACGGGGGATTCGGGAGGGGGGGAACGCACGGGAGCCTACGGGAGTGGGGTACGGTGTAACGTTATAGTCATGCCAATGATACATACATATGGTACATATCATCGTATTGGTGGAGAGTGTGGATACATGGTAATTGCATCGATACCGTTGGGCGTGGATATATGGTCACGGTGGATGTGGTGGAAAATGGGGGGGAAATTTTCGGGCTTGCTGCGCAGTGCGTACTACTATAGAAAGGAGCGGTCCGGGGTCGGGTTATACTGCCAATCACTGAATGGCGTACTTGTGGATGGTATCACTTGAGCCAAACTACGAGAAAGTCACCTTGCTTGCAAGGTGCAAGGTTTATTCTACCTGGAATTGAACAATTTTTTTTTGATCTGCAGGCACATTTTGCTCTTGTTTAATTAGGCTATCAGCCAAGTAATACCATCCAGTGCCGCCGGACTCGGAACTGGCTAGGTATTACTAGATTACCAGTCCTCACAAATATGTAGTCATGGTGGGGTCATGTTCCTCGAGACCTTCGTTTTCATGTGAGGAGGGGTAATGGGGTTGTGTTTATTTATGTTTAAGTTGCTTGTATGAACTCCCTGAATCTCAACGTAGATATCAAAAAAACAAAAATAAGAGGGAAAGATGGAAAGTTGGAAGGATACACTGATACAGGAATAAACGGATATAGATACATCGATACAGTATGGAATAGGTACATAAAAGATACATACAATGCGTTCAGGGTGTTTTGGTTATTTATGATACAGCTCTACAAAATACGAAACCAAGTCACTTAGACTGTCCCGGTGTCATTTCAATGTTCATCTCGTCTTCAAAGGGTTCGTTTAGGCAAAGCGTTCGTTCGTTCGTTCGTTCGTCCTTGAGTCCATTTATCCGTTCATTCGTCTACGCCAAAAGACCTGGAACACGCGGACGCCGCCAATCCGAAGACGAAGAAGAATCCGGACCCAAGATCAACGTACGCGTAGTACCGCGTTTCGTGTGGCGCGCAAGTGGAGAACGAGTACGAGTAGATGCAAGTGTGGGACGAGTAGGCGTAAACGGAGAACGAATAGCAGAACCCAACATAACACCCCCGGTCATAACGCCCGTTTCACCGCCTTGGTATTTGTATCGATTTACCGATGATTTGGACTGGGATTTGGATGTGGATGTGGATTTGGATTGGGATGTGGATTGGGATTTGGGGTTGGGGTTGGGATAGGATTTAGAGGAGTGTTGGGAGCGGGAGTAGGAGAGGAGACGGTGTGAGGGGATAGAGCTTTCGTATTCGAAATCCGATTCCGGTTTGGTGGTGGAGAGTTTGTGCGGTGGGACGTACACCACCCCCGCTGCTGCTGCTGCCGGTGATGACTTGGCTATGGAGGATGAGGACGACACGGAAGTCATGGAAGATATATCGGAGATATGGGATGTGGTTGAGGTGGTTGATTCTGAATCGGAATCGGACGAGTCCACGTCTGCGTCGAGTACATCCACGTCGAGTACGGCCTCGTTGTGGTTCTGGTTATCGTCGTCGTGGTCGTCGTGGTCGTCGTGGAAGACGTCGTGGTCGTCGACCTCCATCCCATCCCCAAACACCAAAAGCCTCGGTAACTCAATCGGTTGAGGAACCACCACATCCCCATACCTATCCCCATTCCCATACCCATACCCATACCTGTGCCTATACTTCCACCCGTCCCCATCCCTCGACGTTCTCGCTATCGCAATCAATGCGGTGGGTGAGCCGATGAACGTAATAGGGGTGAAAGCAGTAGGGGTGAAAGAAGTAGAGGTGAAAGCAGTAGAGGTGAAAGCAGTAGAGGTGAAAGCAGTAGAGGTGAAAGTAGGACTGATCGGGATGGGTTGGATGAGCATTTCGTAGAGGGGCAAGTAGGAAGTAGGAGAAGAATCGCTCTGCGAGGAATCGGACGTGGGAGTCTGGATGAACGGAGGGTTAGGTATGCGTTTGTTTGTTTGTTTGTGCATAGGAAAGACAGGAAAAATACGTACATAGTACTCGCTGTGTTGAATACAAAAGGGTCTTCAAGACGAGTTTGCAAGGACGAGAAGGACGAGTTCAAAGTCGCAAAAGTCGATACGAGGACCGATGAAAATATGCACCCCATATCCTCAACCCCCCACGCTCTTTATCACAAAAACACCACAATGGGGGGTTAAACATATCATTCAAATATTCATTGTTCAAAGGACAATGGCCCCGGTGGGTTGTTTGTCCCCGACGGGTGTACAAATAACTTAGTCATCGAATAGCTTAGTCATCCAAATGACTTCGGCCATTCCCAATAAGTTCGCTCTCCAATTCTTCCCTGGATACACCGATGCCTCAGGCGGTGGTAATGGTGGGAATTTCGGAATCCCCATCTCCACCCATCTCTTCCTCTTCCTCCGCCCCTTCTCTCTTCCCTTCCCCTTCCTCTCTTTCCCCTCCCTCCTTCACATGACTCACACCCAACCCCCTCGTCTGCGCCCCAACCTCCCACCCAAACAACCAATCCCTCATAACCCCACTTGCCCAAAAAATCGGGTTGTCTTCCGAGTCGCCCAAGGCCATGAGGGCGTCCTGGGCCTCCTGTGCGGGTCCGTCGTGCAGATGCAGCTATTCTTGGAGGATTTGGGTGTTGTATATAAACACACAGAAAGGTCCTCCACTCGTTTCTATCAACCGTGAGAACAGCGTACCTTCGCAAACTCCTTAATAGCATCCAACACTGTAACCTACCGTAACCCGACGTCCGTCCGCCGCGAGCGCAAGTGCGGTCGATAGTCCACCGATGCCTGCGCCTACGACGATGACGTCGAGGGTTTTCATTTGTTGGTATGTCGGCTGTCCGCTGGTAGTTGTTGTGTTAGTGTGAGTGTGAGTTGTGAGTTGTGGTGAGTTGTGAGTGTGTGAGTCCGAGTTGTTGTGTTAGTCTGCGTGTGCATATGAACGTGTGTCCTTTTTTTAAATCTTTTCTTATACTAAAAGTAAAAGACTCCCCAAACAAATCTGTTGCATGCTTTTTATACTTATCACTTCTAGATATTAGATATGGCGCACACCCTGAGAGTTGCCTCCACCAGGAATACACCAGGAATACATATACCAAGAATAGAGACAACTAATACTACATTTTAAGTTTTAGAGAATCAAAGTTCAGCCAGAAATCAGATGGGTGTTGAACGTTGAGCATTGAACGTTTGAACGTTCTTGTTCAACGTTTAATTTCAACACTCACCCACCCACGTTTGAATGTTGTCAATTCGAAGAGGGGTACATACAAGACTCAAGTACTAGACATACAAGTACTAGCGCTAAAAAACTTAGACTTGTTTCTGCGATACCAATTGAACCAGTCTTATCATCAGTCTATTTTTGATATCGCAGAAATCCCGAAAGAGTCCTTTATTTCCCAAGTCCCATAAATAGCCCCAAGTGCTCTCACCCACCCACCAAACCACCACCATTGGCATCGGATCCCCTCCTCCTCCTCACCCAATACTAATACTCTCAATACCTTTTGGCAATGGCTTTAGAAACCCGTACCATCTCACTCTCCCACCTCACCCTAAATCAAGATGAACTAGCGTTCTACAAAAGACAAACCGGAATAGCCGACGAGGAGAAATTGAAGGAACGTATTGCGGAGATTGCGCAGAAGGCTCTTGATGTAAGAAGTTTTTTGGCATTCACCAGCATCCAGCTTCTCTAAATTGCCACTGTCCTTGTACATTGTACGTTGTACATATTCCGCTGCGACTAGGTGTATCCGTATCATTGTATCTGGACTTTTGGATTTCTGAGGTATGGACCTGGATCCTTCAAGAAACGCACTCCGAGTCGTTTCGTCTACTAATCCCTTGACGAATAATTTCTGCTACTTGTAACTTTCCACTAGATTCCGTATCCTTCGTTCTCAATCCGGGTACAAACAACTGTTAGAACTAGGCTCTACACGGGCAAATGCTTTGTTTTTGGATATAGGGTGTTGTTGTGAGTTTAAATTTTTGTTCTTCGTGCTGTAGAGAGAAAGAGAAACAACGGAGTACTGATACACTGACGTACTTACGACTTGAAAGTCGGGAACGATTTACGCAAAGCAATCGAGGATGGATTCCCTGCTCAGAACGTGATTGCGTCTGATCTTCGACCTGGTGGGTAATAAAATCCTACATCTACGTATCTATGGTATTTACTGTTACCACCAGACTTTTGGAACTTCGGACACGAACTCTTCAACACCAACCCAACAACATTCCCAGTCACATTCGTTCCAGGAAACGTGCTCGAGTCTTCCTTCATATCCACCCAACCTCCGCTGCTGTCACACGAATCACCTCCAAACTTCATACCCTCCGTGTCTCTCCAATCTCTCCTCCTCCAACCCAACCCAAAATCCCTCGATCCTCTCCGCGGACATCTCTCCGCAATCCACACTTCCGCCTTTTTCCATCTATTCAAGAAGGACGAACAGCTCTTGATAGCCAAGAAACTCGCGTCCCTCCTTTCTCCTGTTCCCGGTTCCATTATATTCGGCTCCCACCGCGGTGCCGCGACGCCTCAGGAAGGGGAAAGGAACAGCACGGGGACGTTGTTCTATCGACATAGTCCGGAGTCGTGGAAAGATATGTGGGAGAAAGAGGTGTTTCTGGTTCCCGGCGCGGGGGATAATGATGGTGGGGGTAGTACCGGCGAGGATTTGATCAGAGTCGATGCTGGGTTGTCGCTTGATGATAAGTCAAGGGAGATATTGTGGTGGACTGTTACACGTTTGTGATTCAATAAACATCTTTTGAAAATTTGTTCTTTTTCTGTACTGTACTACTACTACTACTTTACATAAATTCACCTCGGGTGACTTGGATTCGGACTTGGAAGACAACTAACTTGAACTGTGCGGTGAACCGGTGAAGGCCCCAAGTTCAACATACTCTGCCTATAAACTCACGCAACATCCTCCCCTGTACATCATCCTCCGTCCCAATCGAACATACATGCGAGATATGATTATGTCCTCCCAATACCACGAATTCCGGCAACACCCCCTGCGGGCTTCTCCTCCGATACTCGTCGACAAACGCGAATGTCGGGTCTTGAATCCCTTGTCTGCAAGAAAAAAAAAAACCCCAGGGAACAACTCGTTTTCAGAAAAAAAGATTCTTGCCTTGCCAAAAAAAAACGGAGATAGAGAGAGAGAACTATGTACAACTCACGGATCATACTGCGCCAAAACAACCAAACACGGTAATTTCCTTGGATCCAGCAGCGGAGAATCATCCGGTATCTTCTCCATCATCAAACCAATTGGTGACAACTCATGCACCTCATCGAGGTGTTGCGTCCCGTAATACGCCTTCAACGCTGTTTGAAATTGGGTGTTATGCGGCGGCATCGGACTGAAGGTATCGGTATCGACGAATTCGAAGGGGGTGGATATGAAGACGATTCCTGCGATTGGGGGAGGAGGAGGAGGAGGAGGGTGTGAGGATGTTGGAGTTTCTTTGAACGACTCAGGTTGTACAGAGTATTTCAGTGGCTTTGGCTTTGGCTCCGGGGGGTATAAATAAAGGTTAGTGGCGAGATGTAACCCCCCTGCGCTATGTCCCACCAACACGACTTTCTCAGGATCACCCTCCCCGAACTCTGCCTTCGAGATATTGTGATAAACCCACTCTCGAGCCCTCTGGATATCTTCGGCGCCTCCGGGATATGTAACGTCGGGCACTAGTCGATAGTTGATGATTACGGTGATTATGCCGTGGGATGCGAAGTAATCGCCTGTGGGTATTGTTTGAGTGGTGAATAAAAAGAAGAAAAGGAACCTTGAAAATCAGTGCGAAAAGTTCTGTATTGACACCCCGACGATCTACGTACCGATATTAGCGTATAATGATCCTTTATACCACACTTTATCTCCGGCAACCAGACGTCCGCCATGCACGTATATCATTACAGGTCGATTATACCCCGGAGACGATGGAGACGATGACGACGGAGGAGGAGAGGCAGGAAACGTGGGAGAAGCTAGAGACGTGGGAGACTTGGGAGAAGCTGGAGAGGAAGGGGAGGCAGGAGGAGTGGAAGAGGCAGGAGAAACCGGAGACGCAGGAGACGCGGGAGAAGCTCCTTCCGCTGGTAAATACACATCTAGGACATTACGTTCATGAGGGCCATACGAGATATTCTCTCGAACTACCCTGTGTGATTTGGTTCGGTTTAACTCGTGGTGTTTCTTGCCGTATATCTGGCGGAAGGCCTTAGGATGCATGGAAGGTGGGTGGAAGGTGGGAGGGGAACGGGTGTAACTTAGTAAGTCATAGTATTGGCAGGCGAAAATACTAGCCTCAGACTCACCTCCGCGACGGCAGGTGAGAAATTCGTGTTATTGCGTCGGATTGCTTCGAGAATCTCAGCGCTTCGCATATTTAGTGGATCCTGTTCGGTGTCTTTGACTTTCCGGATGTCTAAGGAGGAGCCAGGGGGAGGAGAGGAGGGGGGGAAGGAAAGCAACAGGGCTTCAACCTACATCATAATATGTAAATCAAATCCACGATTCCGACTTGAAGGGGGTATACATATGTAAATCAAATCCAGAAATTCCTTGAAGGGGTATGTATATCAATATCAATGGGTGAATCACCCGCCGAAAAAATGAACTAAAAAACTCTTGGGATAATTCCCCACACACAAGGGACTCATGACAATGATCTTCAGAATTCTTCTCGGAAGAAATTATGAAAAAGTACTTCCGAGAGAAAATCATCAAACAAGTACTTCCGAAGAACAGCGGATTAACCGTTTGAACGCGTTTGAAATATCGAGTGTTATTGAGTGGTAATTGAGTATAACAAGCGATCTGTGAACGGAGTTGTTGGAAGACATCGGAGACAAGTACATCCGAAGAAAAGCGGTTTGACTGATTGAACGCGTTTGAACGTTGAGTATAAATAATTTGAGAGTATAAAAAGCGATCTGAAAACGGAGTGAGTTGGAAAGGACAGTATTGAGTTATTGAATGATTGACACAGGAGACTGAATTGTCAAGTCAAGGTTTGAAGGTTTTTCGCACAAGTAAGTACATCCGAAAAAAAGCGGATTGACCATTGAACGCGTTCAAACATTTAGTGTTATTGTAACTTGAGAGTATAGAAAGCGATCTGAAAACGGAGTGTTGGGAAGGAAAGTAAGTAGTAAACGCTTGAATGAATGATTGGATGGATGACACAGGAACTTTGGAATGTAAAGCCAAGGTTTGAAAGTTGCTGCGAATGTTACATACACAAGACCTCATGGGAAACATGAGAAATCTCTTTAAATTGTTAGACGGAAATCAACCTACTTACAACGGATGTATTATGAGCAACCACTTACGAGTTCAATGCCATTCTACCGGATGATTGACGATGATTGGGTCCTAGAACCTTATTGCGAGCGGGGCGAAGCATTAATGGTGGCTATCATAGAGGGCTGAACCGGGAAACAAACAAACACAAAGTGTTGTAGCGCAAACTCCCACGGAGTCGGAATACCCGCGGATGTGCGGATGCTGGGGTGAGGGGGCCTGTGTAACAGTGTTGTAGCATAGAGAGTTAAAATCGATCCGAAAACGGAAGTGCGTTAGAAAGGAAAATATCAAATGATTGGAATTTGGATCACACAGGAGACTGAATATTGAATTCTCAAGTCAAGGTTTGAAGGTTTTTCACAAGAATTGTGTACTGTGATTACTGGTGAGGTCTAGCAAGACTTAAATGAGCCTAAACGTCATCTGTGCCAGGAAATCTCTTCAGACAGTTAGACGCGGAAGGTTGACTGTTTCAGTCCTACCTCCAATGGATGTATTATGAGCAACCACTTACGAGGTTGTAAGGCCATTCTACTGGATGATTGACTACTTATAATTGGGTCAAACAATTCAAAGCTTGAACTTATGTATACCCAGTGTATACTACACAGGCGTGCAGTTCTATTCAACCAGGTTTAACCCAACGATAGTTGATGTTGAGCCTGATTAAATTAGTGCTCAGTACAGTTTCTGTAATCCTAACCCCGGCATCACTTGAAACCTGGATTCAAAATATTGAGGCTGGGCATCAACTCATTTACATAATCAAGGCCCACTGCAGTACTCGGAATGTTCATTTTTCTGCTCTTTTCCAAAATTTTCAAATCTTTTATTGGACTGAATCATTACTTAGTATCTACATACAAAGGTGCAACATAATAAAGCATGTATCTGAGAATGAAATTTAAAATTTAAGACACACTGACCTGGGAACCAATTAATTGGACAGGTGAAAAAAAACAAAAAATTGCTTGGTAACTCAATCTTGGGAAGGGGATGTTTTGATGTACCCGAAGCATGTGGTGTTGAAGTAGGCAGTTGAGACAGTCTTGCAGAGTTGATGGCGGCATAGAGGGCTTGTTCAGCTTGATGTCATTCTTGAGGTTGGAGTGAATTCTCGTAACGGGAATGATGCAGTCCGAGCCTTGAATATTTTGTATCTTCAATAGACAAGTTGAATGTTGAGTTAGTTGCAGGTTGTTGGAAGTACTTTCCTTTTTGGGCCAATTCATTCCGCTCACATGTGACTCGCATTATTTAGTTCGCCATTCACACACTATTTACCCTCAGCTGTTCTGATCCTCTTCTGTTTGACACTGAGGGTAAGTTTTTCCTATTATCATACCTATCCTATCAGAGACTCATTAACTAGATAGATTGTTTCTTTCGCTCTTCATATAGGTATAATAAGAGCTGTTCTGATCCTCTTCAGTTCAACACTGAGGATTGTTTCTTTTGCTCTTCATATAGATACTTGCTAAGAAGTTATGGGTTTTTCCCTAGGTCTTTTCTTTATATGTTGAACGATTTCAAACCAACTTCACAATTGTACTCCAATAACAGCTCAACAAATTCTGACTGGACGTTGCAGTGCTAATCCGTAAAAAGGAAAGACACACTCCCACCAGACTGAAACCTCTTTGCTAGCAACCATTCGGGCCCGGCACTTGTGAGTATAGGAACATTGTGTTCTGCTCCTTGTGACTGCGAGAAGTATATCCAGTTGTTGGGTATTCTTCGAACTTAGGATCAGTTGTTGGTCTTAAGGGCAAATCACGCTGTGTGGTTGTGCCAGCACATAGTTCTAGCCCTCCGTAGGGGTCTGTGTGTTTCAGTTTTAATTTACTTTGATTCAAACCCCCAATTCTTGATATACCCATATCAATACATCCAAAGCACAAATTGTGGTGAATCTACCTTAATCAAAGGAATATACCGAATCCTTAGAATGATTCAAATTGATTGATCGAAGCTTCTTACCTAGCTCTCAAAGCTTTGCGGAACCTTTAACAACGCTACCCCTTGCTATTAAATAAATTTAATAGCAGTGAACTCGCATATTGTGTATTAGATTGGTTGGTTGGAGTGCACATTTGATTCCTTCCTTTCTCTTTCACACAAAAACGAGGCAAGCTCGTTACCGTCCTGCCCAACATTCACCCACATAGAGCCATCATGTCAGATTTGAGTCCGAGAGTATTGGCAAGATCTAATCGAAGATCACCCCCATATTGCAAGGACCAGGTCCGAGTTTTAGCAAGATATCAAAGTGTTCCTTTTGCAGCAACAAGATGTCTCAGCAATGGTTTCGAGTTGAATTGTGCAAGAAACATAACTGAGTATGCAATATCAGGTCGCATACATAGCACAAGAAACAGGAGGCAACCAATGAGGGCTTGATAGATCTTTGTAAGAGACTCAGGATCCACGTCGGCATATAAAGAAAAATTAGGATCGGGACCATCAAATTTGTATCAGAGTGGGAGGTCATGAGTAATACATTCAATCAAACCATATTGCTCAAGGAGATTGTTAAGATCATGTACACCGTGAAACCGTGCCAGGGCCAGAAGGTGTCTAAGTGCGGAAGACGAGTGGGACAGTAGTGAAGTTATTAACAACACCGCCGTTACGCCGTTAGTCCCCGGAGATCAGGAGTATAAAAGGGAGGAGCTGAGTAGCAGCCAAGTCGGAGCGGTGGTATCGCCGGTGACGAGGAGCGAACCAGAGAACTTATAAGTCCAAAGGTTATAGAGGTAGTACTTCAAGGCAGTGAGCCTGAAGACTTAGAGAGCACAGAGTTAAAGAGGGAATCTAAGTCGATAATTAAACTGAGGAACTACAGTAGCGTACAGGCAGTATTTATATCTACGGATCGGCACATCGGTGCGGAGCGCCAGACTAACTACTAGGAGCTATACGAGTAGTACCTGCAGGGTAAAGTAAAAGACAATAAGGAAGGACTAGAACGTAAGGGTATGTGTAGCGAGAAAGAACAATAAGAGTAAGATTACAATAAGAGTGGATCTTCGGAGTACCGAGCGGTAACGAGCTTGCCTCGTTTTTGTGTGAAAGAGAAAGGAAGGAATCTAATGGGCACTCCAACCAACCAATCTAATACACAATATGCGAGTTCACTGCTATCAAATTTATTTAATAGCAAGGGGTAGCGTTGGCAAAGGTTCCGCAAAGCTTTGAGAGCTAAGTACGAAGCTTCGATCAATCAATTTGAATCGTTCTAAGGATTCGATGTATTCCTTTGATCAAGGTAGATTCAGCACGATTTGTGCTTTGGTTTGTATTGATTTGGGTATATCAAGAATTGGGGGTTTGAATCAAAGTAAATTAAAACCGAAACACACAGACCCCTACGGAGGGCTAGAACTATGTGCTGGCACAACCACACAGCGTGATTTGCCCTTAAGACCAACGACTGATCCTAAGTTCGAAGAATACCCAACAACTGGATATACTTCTCGCAGTCACAAGGAGCAGAACACAACGTTCCTATACTCACAAGTGCCGGGCCCGAATGGCTGCTAGCGAAGAGGTTTCAGTCTGGCGGGAGTGTGTCTTTCCTTTTTACGGATTAGCACTGCAACGTCGTCCCAAAA